CCATCCTTCTTTAGTCTTTGCAGAAGTATGTTCTTGACCTTTCCCCAGAGACTCAAAAGCTAAGCTCCTCCCTGCCCTAATAAAATATGCTCTGAGTCATGTGCTGAAATACAATCAATATAGATTTTTCTGTTATTGCATAACAGCAGAAGATGTGAGCAAGATTTCTACAGGCAGCACACCAAAGTTGGATTTTCTGCTGATGACGGACACAAAAAATGGTTATGGATATCACAACCCATGTGGGTTCCTAGAAGACAATTGTTTTGATCCTCTGCATGATTTTTGTTATTCATTTTCAGTCCTTCCTTAAGGGTCAAAACTGAAGAAAAAGGAAGGGAGAAGAACCAAAAGAGGGATGATAAGAGAGGAAAAACGTTTCAATTAATTCCTTGAAGTTCAACAAACAAACAGGAAAATGGCTATTCTATTTCTATTTGTGCACACACGCACAGACCTACTGACACACTCAGAGGCTTCCCCGGAGCAGGGATTGGACGAGAGACAAAGAGAGAGAGCACTTCTTTCCCACCCCTCCACAGCCGCTTCAACCTACTACCAGTAGTCCTGTCAGAGTGAGATATGAGAACAGGGCGGCGATGACGCCGGGCCACTTGGACTCCTAGACCACCTCAGACTCAACACCTCTCCCGTCCACTTCTCTCACACTCAGCCGCGTTTCATTTCATCGCCGTGGAATGGATTCCCGGCTGCTGATTGGACCGGGGATGCCCACACCGGACCCGACAGCCCGGACACCCTGGAACATCAGCTCCATCAGTCCCCACAGGCTCATGGAGCTGTCTCCAGTCGCTACGTCTGTAAGTATCCTGCACCCACGGCTTTTTTGTGTATTTTAGTTTGTTTGTTTGTTTGTTTTTGGCTGCGTGAACCTCGGTGTGAATGGAGAGCTTCTGTGCGCCGCAGCGATGCGTAAACGCGGACGCATCCGATCCAGAGAAGCTAAATACCTTTTTTTTGTTTTGTAAGTGTTTTCATTCCTCCTCCATATAATTCAACATATGAACGCCGCACAAGGGAAGTGTGAGTGAGCGAGATGTTAACTCTGAATGAGTGAATGCAGAATCCTGTCCTGCGCGTCTGCGCTCCGTTCATTCAGCACCGCACCTGAATGAAGGCAGGAGTGAAGCGCAAATCCTGTTAGCTCTACTGTTTCTTCAGCTTGTACTATTGCAGAAAATGGTTTTAAAAGCTGCTGTGGGTGAAGGTGTGTATCACCTTTTTGGTGCGTGTTAAAAACGCCATTCGTATATTCTTATTGCAGTATTGCTCATAATTCTATAGTGAGTTTATGGATCTCTCTCCTGTCAGTATTCCTTGTATATTTGAGATGACTTGTGTGTGTGCTCATTTAGTGTTGCACTCAGTGGCGTTCATGTGGACCATTTGATCATCACATAAATTCTTGCCCTCCCAATCTCATGTAAGCGCTTCAATAGACCCATTTGGGTCCCAATCTTAATTTACCGCATGAAGGCTGCAGGCTCAGTTCAGTTCAGATCTTTATTATCACACAAGAGGAAATTCTGTTTGCAGCAAGGCACCATAAAAACTAAAACATGGTTTTGTACAGCATGCTGATTTGGATTGTTGGTTTTAAAATTTAAAGGCATGTGATCATGCAAGCTCTAACATCACGTTTACATGTGACATTTAATTCTGACATTACACATTTTTATTCCAAGAGGTGTGGTCACCAGCAAGAGCAATGTGTTCAAGTGTCATGGATGATTGGACTCCATCTCTCTCTGTCTTCCTCTGTGTCTGAAGGATGGGTCAGTTTACGCATTGACTTCCAGGAAATCCTTTTATACAGATGTGTAGACCAATAGGCTACAGTATCCAGAGTATAGAGTATCCACTCTGTACATAAAATAAATATTAAAAAAATAGTGTTTCTTCAAACCGTGTAAGTTCATTAAGATTTTTACCTTATTTTCTAAAATTAATAAAAAATTAGAAGCTAGCTACCAGTCACCTGTTTTTTTTCCACACAGCCGACATTGGATGCTTGTTATCTTAGCTAGCTAGCTAATATATTAACTTACTGATTAGCTTACAAAACACAAATTTAATTTCTGAAAAAAACTACACAGATCCCCCAGGTCAGCTGTTACAGTTTACTGCAGAACAACTCAAGAAAAGTTTGTCTTGATGTTCCTGCTTTCCTACTCTACGTACAATTCCCCAAAAGTCTGCAGGCACCTGCTCAAACAAAACTTTGACGTTTACTTTGATTTTTTTAGTTTGGCCATATCCCCTCTCTGCTAACATGGATGGGCTGGGGTTTATGACCTACACTGCAGCCAGCCGCCAGGGGCTGCTTCACCTTTGGGGAGCTGTCATATTGTCCATCTATATAGAGCCTATGGTTTCGTCTCTGACATTGAAGTCCAGACCTGCAGGCTTCAGTCTCTACTGGTGTTGTGGTCTGGCCTTCATGGTGGGAGAGCGGGAAAGCTGATACTGAAGCAGTGCCTGAGGGCAGCTTCTGCTGAGACAGATGAGATCTTGTACTCTGCAATAAGTGTGGTTTTCATTTAAAAAGTCTTTTAAAACCTTCTGTGTTTCTCTCTAGAGACCTCTTTTCCTTTTAACAATGTTTGTTGTATTTTGTCTCTTGATTATCTATCTAATCTACAATCTCTGGATAATTAAAAAAATATGGGCCCAATTGATGAATGTGTATGCATGCAAACACGTTTTTGCAGGGGTGTTCTGTGAAATGAAAACGATGTGCGTGCTGATGTGATTGAGCGTGCCTATAAGTGGATTTGTGTAGAGAGTAAGTGTGTGTGTATAACTCAGTATTGTGCTATCATGAGTAGCTACTGACTCAGATAATCAAGATCCAATGAAAATACATTTCTCTACTGTAAATGAACCATTGCACTGATTATTCGCATGATAACGGTGCCTCTGGAGGCAGTCTTTATTTAGAGGGAAGCCCCTCAGCCATGTTTATTAAATGAGTCTTGGCTGTTACACAGAAATGTGTGTGTGTGTGTGTGTGTGTGTGTGTGTGTGTGTGTGTGTGTGTGTGCGTGTCTATATGTTGCATGCAAGCAAAAGTCAATTACAGTACATATGTTTGTAAGCGTTCAAACACATGTACACAAGTGTGAGTAGCTATTTTTGCTTGTTCATGCTCACATGCATGTGTTTTTTAATTCAGATTAAACTCCTTCTCCTTTACTCTTCTCTCACCTCTCTCCTTTATCTTTATCTTCTTTCTATCTTGCTTTAGTTGTCGTTGCCTGTTCTAAGTGAATGTGTACTAGACAGCCACAAGATCATTTACATTTATATGACTTGCTCTCCACTGACGAAGGAAAGCCCAGAAATTCTGGCACCATGCCTTTAGTACGTGCTCACAGACTATAGAGAGAGTATAGAGAGATATTAACGCGCACTATTTCCGTCTTTAAACCCTACACAAACACTGTAGAGGAGACATCCATGTCGTGTTGCTCACCATGCATCTTTCTTCCTGTGTGATCAGCATTAATCTGACCCCTAGCCGCCAGAGCTAGAAGGAAAGGAGTGATCGAGAGATTTAGTGTACAGAGGAACAGACGTGAAGGAGGGAATTAGCAGGGGAGGATGAGAAAGACAGATCTAGCAGAGAGAGTGCGAGGGATATGAAAAGGAGAAACCAAACCTGGGAAGAAATTAAGCTGGGAGGGAGTAAGACCTTGAAGACGAAGGTGTCAGACTGGATCCAAGTGTGTTTACATTCCACACACCACATCTGCATATCATCTTCACTTACTGCTCTTGTCCCCACTTTCAGTAACACATCCCAATGCCCTTTTCACTCATTTGCTTACAGAACCACCATCACTTTTCGCTATATGTAGGCTACTTTTCAAATGTCCTCCTTTTAGTAACAGGAACTTGTAAATGCAGAAAAGTAAGACTGCTGAAACACAAACGCAGACACACATGCACACTTAATTGCAGTGGCCAGAATTAATGAGAGGAGATGTGTGTTCCAATTGATCTCTGGGTGGTAATAAGATCAAGCTTAGTTGATGTAATCCTGGTTAGTGGGTGTGTGTGTGTGTGTGTGTGTGTGTGAGAGAGAGTGCATCTGCATTAAAGAATCACAGTGAGAGAAAATAGGAAAGTGTTAATGCACGGAGTGTGTCAGAAATTAATTCTCACAATTATTATTCAGAAATATGATTCTGAAATGAGCCATTCTGCATAATTACTACTTTTACTTTTACTCCATAAGTGTCAGCAAAATAGTGTGAAACCAACAACAGAATGTGAATGGTTCTGTCCCAGTGCTCGCGTGGGAGCATGAAACAAACAAAATGGGGACCCACTTGTATAAACATTGTGCCATAGTGCTACTAGTGGTCAAAAACGCCACAGTGTACCTATAAATACAACTCTGAGGCAGCAATAGAATACTGCTACCTTCAAGTATTTCCATTTTGTGCTACTTAGCACCTCTATTCCACATTTTAGAAGGAATATTGTAATCTTTACTACTCATTTCTGTGATTGCTGGAATCATTATTTTACAGGTAAAGATTTTACAAAACAGGATATATCAGTTTGCAATTTTCACTACAGATGTTTTTATATCCAACAGCATATAAGTTGTTTGATTTCAGCACTACTGGACAAGCTACAATATTAAAATACTGCTTGGATGTTAATGTATAATCTAATCAGAACTTTTACAGCTGATGCTCAGTGAATGTGAAAACAAAAGCACTTTTATTCATAATAGTACAGTATTTTTCTATTGTGGTATTGCTTCTTTCAAGCAAGGATCTGAATATATCTTCCATCATTGCTTCATGGTTTAACTCTGCTCATGATTAGCCATTTTATGCATTTCATTGTGTAAATGTGACTTTTCAAACTGTGTCAATTCTTATTACCAGATACTGTGATTGACAGGTACTGTAACAGTTTAACAGTAAGGCCTTGTAGAGTTTCTTTGTGGCTGACAGAGGTTGGTAGAAGTCATGACCTCCAAACAGAATAGTTACTGGAGTATAATTAATGGATCATTGCTTTTATTTTCTCTCAGCTCTTGAAATAGAATGAACTCTTCAGTGTCTGTACTTATGTGCTATAGATCACTTAAAGTCACCTACTGATGTTGAAACCTCAAGTTAACATGCCAAACCAGTCATTATCACCCTAATTATTTGACTAAATCCTATTAAGTTATTATTTGAAGAGAATGTGTATGGAGCGGGCTCCAGACTAAGTGGATTTTCTCTCACTGTAGGGATGTATCTAACATTTGCTGACACACTTAAGTGCTGAATCTGAATATGTACCCACCGACCCCTATAACCAATTATTCTAGTGTGGTGCAGTTTTATTGCTTTGAATGTCAACACAATCAATAATAAAATATGTCTTTATATTTCCTTTTCTTTAATTTGATCTTAAATTAAAATTAAAAAGGGAAAAATTTAAAAATCACTAATAAAAAAATATAGTAATCCAGATAGTCAGCCTATAATTAAATGTTAGAAAGAAAAAGGAAACTGAAAATGGGTTTTAAGATTATGAAAAGTGAAATTTAAAATCAAAAATGGAAAAGCTTAAATGTAAATGCTTGGGAAAAGAAGTCATTACAATTCAGGCTTTAAGCTTTCCTTCACAGCATTGCTGAGACCTGCAGTAAAATCAGAACAGTTTTTGAGTGACATTGCTATCCTGTTTTCCTGTTGCTAGAGTCCCATGGTTCCAAGCCACCCATTTCCAACAGTAGACGTCCCAGACCACGCTCACTATACAATTGGTGTTGTCATCCTGGCCGTGGGCATCACAGGCATGCTGGGAAACTTCCTGGTCATATATGCTTTCTGCAGGTACTTTTTTTTTTACACTTGTTTCACTTGTTTAGCATCACATTTTTGGTTTATAGTATCTGTGATAATAACATATGTGATGTGTGCGTGCAGGAGCCGGAGCTTGCGCACACCCTCCAACATTTTCATCATTAACCTGGCAGTCACAGACTTCTTTATGTGTCTTACTCAGACACCCACCTTCTTCATCAACAGCATGCACAAGCGATGGATCTTTGGAAAGAAAGGTAAGACATGTGTGTGCAGTGAAATGGTTTAGTGTTTCAACTTTATTACATAACATTTTGCACTTTATATTTAAATATAGTACCTAACCAACAACCTAAACACAGACTAATGATATTATAACACTCTTTTACATGTGCATGCATGCATACACACACACACTCTAAATTACAAGGGGAGTTTATTGTTTCTTTACCGTCTTGAGTGTGACCTACAGTTCCATTAAGATTCTTTTTTTTTAAACCTGTCCTGCCCAGCAGCCTGGTGTAGAGTATAATGACCTGGATACCATATTGTGCTAGACAGATTTTACTTTAACAAGAGAGTATTAATATACTCCTTTGTCTGTTTTATTATTTATTTAATTATGTATTGATTTGTCACCGGCCAGACAGGGGGGCAGACGTGGGGATAGGGGGGTACAAACAGACAGCACAGAGAAAGGACAACACCTGTAAGAGAAGGGGGATGGAAGGTGGGGACAACAGGGAATAGCAGAGGGAAACACCAATTGCAGAAAGCAACGAAACCTGCAATGGAACAGAGAGGGGGGCTTGGGGAGGAGAAAAACAACAAAAACAAACAAAAACAAAAACAAACAAACAATAAAAATAATAATAGTAAAAGACAACCAGCCGAACAGCAGCAATAAACAGTAAGATATAAACATAGTAAGACAACTAAGAGAAAAATGAAAACAACAAACAGTCACGCACAATAAATAAGCAACACAGCACAGCCACCAGAGCTGGAATAATAACAATTAATTTAAATAAGTAACTGAAAGAAAAGCATCAGGAATAATTCTACCAGGGACAACCTAAATTTGTTTGTGTCTATGTGTGAGAGTGTGTGTGTGAGTGCGTGTGGGTGAATGTGTCTGTATATATGTGTGTGTGTGTGTGTGTGTGTACATGTGTGTGCGCATAAGCCTGTTAAAGAATGTAGTTGTTAGTGAGAGTGAGACGCTACGACTGTGCCACACCGACCCCAGCAACAGGCAGGCAACAACCCCAGTAGCCAATAGGGATGGAAGAAATAAATAAAAATAACAAAAAACTAAATATATGACTCCCAGATGCACCACGATGCAAACGCGGAAGACCCCAACCCAACCAACAGACGCCCAAAAATAAAAAGTAAAAAATAAATAAAAACGACCAGCCAAATGCCAGTTGACAACGAAATGATGACGGAAAGCAAGTCCCAGCCGGCAGCAAACGCACTGTGCAGGTCACCGTGCACCCGCCAATAAAAGTCTGCCGTCCCCACAAACGCCGGAAAAACTAAGGCCGCCTGCGCCAGCCGACATCCCCCATGCACAGCACGCCCCCACCCCGCCGTGCAACACCAGCCAAACCAGCAACGAGGCAAAATCAACTAGCTCAGCTGCATGCCACCAACAACCCACCTACCCGTCAAGGGCCGAGAACTCCAGGCACAAACCAAGAATAAACCGGAGCACAGCCTTGCCTTCCATTAAGATTCTGTACACACACACACACACACACACAAACCTACCGTCCTCTATCACCCTTTTCTGCTACAATGTAAACAGCAGCATCAAAGCCTTACTCTGCAGTATCCAAATGCCACTGATCACAAAAAACAAAGTAAGAATGCTTGTAGGAATGCATGTGTTCTACCTGAGTGCATTTGGAAAGGGGTTGTACAGTAGTGTATTTTATCAGCGTGAATAGAGACAGAGAGGTGGTAAAAGAGGCTCCAAACTCCACAGATTAAACACTGATAGAACGGAGCAAGAGAAAATATATATGTGGAATGAATGAGGCAGATGAAAAGCAAAGCAAAAGCCAACTGTAACTTGTCTTTTATTTGTGTAAATCCATCTGTTTTACTAGAATTCCGTAGAAGCCAATGCAGCATTTAATGATGGGTATTTTTAGTAGCAGTGTGGCTCTAGGGATTGCAATGCTGGTAGGTTAATAAGATAATCTTTCAGTCGAAACACTGTTCTACCTCGGCAGCTTTGGAAAGAAATTTGGTACAAGACATTTCTTGTCCCCAAAGAATTAATTCGAATGACTTTGATGATCCCCTGTGCCACCACCACACCAACAGGATCTTTTTACACTTACAATTTACACTTTTCCAAAGTATAGTCCCAATAAAATGACAGTCAAAAGACAGATTCGATTTAATCTCTTCAGTGACGGCATTTAGGGTATATGCTTCATGTACGTCACGGTTTAATTGTTACATTTCCATTGCATTTTTTTTTTGTGTTTATCGATCCACCAGCTTTTCAAGTGTAAAATACTTTTTCACAATATTGCAACTTTAAAAAAAATCTAATTTCTGTTCTGCTCAATGTTTTTATTTGATGCACTTAAAAAACGTATGGAAACACAATTATTAATGAATGCTTCCTAAAAAGATTAGCTCCTGACAGCTCATTGCAGGACCTCATTAAAGGACCTCATTATTTCTGAGATGTTTTACATATACTACTTGTCATCTTGACCACAAAGCAGTGAGCTTTGCTGTTAGACAAAATGCCCCTGGACTTTTAAATATTGTTTCTCTCTGGCTATCATCTGCTCGTCCAATCTGGACTTGATTTGCTTTGGTAATTTAACAAGGGCTGTCAAACACACACAGTAATATAATAGACAGAAAGGCTATGTAATATAATCAATAGCATTTTTGTTTGAGTTTCTTCACACGGTCAACTCAACTCAGATTCTGTCTTGTGCTTGCACGCGATGACTGGCGCTGTGATTTTATGATATGTGGTGGTAAATACACACTCAGGACCTGAAGGGACAGAAGCTGAAAAAGTCATGATTAAGTCTTTGTATTGTGTCTGCGTGCACGTGTGTATAGGCTTGCAAATTGATCTGCAAGTGTGCATTAATGTGTAAATCGTTCTTTATAAATTATGGATTCATTCAGCATAATCATGAGGATGAACTGCACCGCGAACAGCACCTTACATTATGGAACAAAAAGAGGCATGTTTGAAGCCACTAACACTGTGTCTGAATGAAACCAGTATGTCATCATATAATATGTTTATTACTAGGTATTCATTAGCGGTGGGTGACATGGACCTTGTATCAAGGTATGTAATTTTATATCACAACACCACTATATATCTCAATACAGTAATAGATTACATGACAGTCTAGCCCTGATTTGCATAGCCTATAGCACCAAGTAGTGTTTCCCCTAGGTTAACTGTCAAGGGTCATAGACAAAACTGCTGTTGCTGTTCACCATCAGCTTAAGCCTATGGCATTTTAGATTGCATAAATTTGCCTAGCAGCCAGTGGAGTTTCCTGTACTCATAGCTTAACAAATTACATATTATTAATATTTTTTCTTACTCGCCATTGGTTGAAGTCATTGCATCTCCGGACCATAGCTCCCGACACAACACCACGGCTGGATTACAGCTGTATGTAACGTAACGAGTCGTCAACTCCAGTAACTTAACGTTCACTTCACCTGTCTCTCTGCTCGCCTCAGTGTGTGCAAAGCATCGCCCTCAGTGAAACACAGCAAGCAGTAGAGGAGAGAAACTAATTTGACCGTAAATTATAACAAAACTCATACTGCCCAACCCTATTCAACATGTATTACAGTTTTTCTCAGTTGCTTAAAGAGTATAACCAGGCTTTTGAACAAAAATTTCAAAACCATAACTTGATTTTTTTTTAAAGCACAGCCATATCTCTAAACTCTACACACAAATCCCTTCCTTTCTCATTGCCTACATCATGTGGTCATTTAGAAAGCACTAACATTCAATACTGTTCACTCAAGTCAGCACAGCTTGAGTTAAATTAGCACACAGCTACCCAGGTGGAAACACAAAGAGTCATTATTGATAACACACCAATCAGAAGCTTCAATAGATAGATAAAAGGGTCAGAGTCAGTTTTGGAACAATGGATACATAGAGATGTGAAGGAAGAGGTACAGGACATCAGAGGAGAGGAGCAGGAAGAGGAGGAGGAGGACGAGCAGTATGGAGAGGAGTAAGAGGTGAAGGAAGAGGAACAGTAGGAGTTGGAGGAGGAGATGGAATAGGAGGAATATGAGGAGGAGGAGGAGTTGTATGGCGGAGGAGAAGGGAGGAGGTGGAGGACGAGAATCTCTGGCCTGTCCCAGACCAAAGACACGACGCATGGGCAGAAAAATTTGTTGTTTAGTGTGTTGTACTGTATAATACACTAAGGAATAAAAAGTGTGCAAATGTATACTTTTGTTGTGTTCATCATGTGAAAATATTCTTGATTAGGAGAACCAGAAGCAACATTACTTATAACCAGTTTTTGTAGTATTGTTTTGAATTTATGTCACTAAAGTGTAAGACTTTGTAGTAGTGTGTGTGTGTTTTTGAGGGCTTGTGTGTTATGTCTGAGGGCAAAGTTGTTGTTTTTTCAGCAAGATTGAATGTTTTTGAGTGGAGAGCTTCATTCTGACCTGAAAATAGGATGTTTGGGGAATTTGGTGAGAAGTTGTGGATTTGTGTTCAGATTTTTGAGAAATAGAGGCAGACTTTCAAGAAATGTGTTTAAGCAATGGAGAAAAACTCTAATATTTACACTAATACTGTATGCTGTTTGTACATGTCACACTTTTTCAAATATGGGAGGGGGCATTGGTAAATCTATCTTACTATGGCGCTACTTGTCTTTACCTGACACTTGTCTTCATCGTTCATCTTGGACTCCTTTCCCCAATTCTCTACTTAATTTTCCCTATCTTTCTGCCTTTATTGTCATGGTCTAGGTTGTTGTTTTAGTGTTTCCTACTTTAGTTTGAAGTTTGTCTGTCCCTAGTGTTCTTGTCTTGTTTTACTTTCTGTCCTTGGTTGTTGCACCTGTCTCATTCTCCTGATTGTCATCACCTGTGCCTTATTTTCCTCATCCCGCCTGTGTGTGTCTACAGTACAGTGGTTGTCTTCCTGGTGGTAGTTGCTAGTTCATTGTTCATCATTGTCCTTCGTGTCTCCAGTTACACTGTGTCTTGTCTTGTGGTCTTGTACTCTTCTCTGTGAATTTAATGGACTATCGCCGTTTGTTTCTAAATACATCTTGTTTTTCACTGTGGACTACTTTACTATTGTTTGGATGTATCAGTTAATTAAACCTCACTTCACTTATATTTACCTGCTCCATGCTTATATCTGTGTTTGGGCCTAAAAGCCCTGTTTCCGTGTTTAGTCTGATGGCTGAATGTTACACCAATCCTATATTCCATCTCTTTCCATTCTCTCTACTTCTGTACTGCCTCTACTCTCCTGAATCCTGTCTTAATTTTTTAAGCTCCCCTTTTTTCCCAAATCAGGTCAGGACAGGATGGATATTCAGAGGATAAACAACGTCATAGGATTTATCATCTGATGACTAAAGTGTTTCCTCAAAAGATGGAATCTGTTACGTTGAGTCAAGCAGGGAGCTGGAAAAGCAGGGATTCGGACCCAAAAGCATGACACACAGGCGGAGCAGATGCACTTTATAGTAGCCGCTTTCACACAGAGATCCTGCAATCAACGCAGAAAGAATGTCTGCCAATATGCTGCATTCACTCATTCATACTGAACAAAATATTGTCGCCATAATCCAACAGCCATGTGTCCTTTCACACAGTGATCCGGCTCTCAGGGTTAGACTGTGAAAAAAAGACCATGACTTGTAAGACAACAGCATTGAAACGCCACACCTTTTCCATGGCTTTTTCCACATACATTGTTCCGTCTCTGTTACTACCAACATTCCCGGCTCAAATCTGACCCCCCTCCCCCGTACCTTTCATACAGCGCAGCGAGCTGGAATATTGTTGTTATAATCCCAGAAAATAAGGCAGTGTGAAAGCTCCTACTGTTTATTAAGAAAACTTATATATCCTACAACAGACAATGGGAAGACACACACTTAAATATACAAGAGGGAGGTGATTAACAAGGCACAGGTGCAACAAGCAGGAAAACACAAGAGCAGGAAGTGAAGTGAACAGAAACGAGAGGAGACATAAGTAACAAAATAAAGGTGGAAGTTTACAGAACAAATCAATAAACAAGGAAAAACCATAGACTGTAAGCAAAAAACAGAGAGACGAGGAGTTAAGTAAGCACAGACACAAGAGGAAGGGTTTAACAAAATAAAACAGGAAATAACCACAAAACCATGACAGAATCAAGTCATCAACCATTCCTCAAGCTATGTGGCTAGCATGGCTAAAATGTAAAAGGAAAAAAAGACTATGGGTACAAACATTTGTTTCCAAACTTAGGTTAATGTAACTGTATTATCATTAGTTCTGGCTGTTTTCAGCCTTTCAGCTCTTTTCATCTATCACACAATACTTTCAACTGTAGACTTTCCCAGCTGCAGGATCTACTGCCAGAAATGCATTTATCCGGATATCAAACATATTTTTTCTTCCCCTCTACTGCTTCTTTGTCCCTCCTTTACCTCTCCTGGTGCAGGTTGTGAGGTATATGCATTCTGCGGAGCACTGTTTGGTATCTGTAGCATGATTACACTAATGGTGATTGCGGTGGACCGGTACATGGTGATCACCAGGCCTCTGGCCTCCTTGGGGGAGATGTCTCGCAGGAAAGCCCTGAGCATCGTGGGTGCTGCCTGGTTCTACTCCATGGGCTGGAGCCTACCCCCCTTCTTTGGCTGGAGTGAGTACAACTGCACTCAGATACCTAGAAACAGAGTCATTATTGATCAGTGTGATTCCTCTGAGGGATTTGTTGAGCTCTGTCTCATAACTTCGATCTCACTGTTTTTGTTTTGTGTCTGCATGTCAAATTCCTGATGAAAGTTACTGCTATCTCAAATAGATCAGACTTTGCCTTTTGTCAAGCTGCCAAATACATTTAAATCAGTTATCAGAAGGCAGATCACCTCATGCTTACCTGTAGCTGACATTACAACAGCCCAAAAATAAGTCATGATGAGGTTGTGAAGTCTTACTTTTTGTAACAGACTATATGTTGGTGTTAACAAGCAGCCTCCATTAGGTTAATTCTCTATACTTCTTGCACGTCACACTTTACTCTGACTGCTGTCACGGTCACAGGTAGTCAATTTTAGTAGCTATCGATTTTCAATCGGGCGGGCCTTACCTACTATGACCTTGTCAGAAGGCAGATGCCACAGAGTTGGTAATTAAATTAAGTTACTTAGACATAACAACAAATACAATCAGTTCAGTACGCTGTGAACGCTTATTGAACTGTTGAAACAACATAACAGGAAACAGCTCTGACACTTACTACTAGGTGTCTGTCCAAAAAGGACTTAAATTATCACAGGACAAAAACACAAGGTTTGCTGAACAGACGGAAGTTTAGAATGTCAGACATATTGTATATGTATTCAAATAGAAACAACATGTCTTTTGGATACACATACTGGGAGCCCCTGTCAAAGTTCTGTCACTCTGCATTGACCATGTTGCAGTAGCAATTTCCACTAAACATTCTTTTGGGGTTTGGAGCCCCCACCCCCACAACAACTTTACACATCATGTAATAAAAGTGACTTAGGGCTTCCTTTCGTGTCTGGAGAAAGGGAGATACAGTGTTTTAAAGTCTGCTGTTGTTATGTATGTAAGTGTATGCTTAGTTTTGTTCAAATGTTTACACAAAGACAGATTGTAGTGTCTCTTTATGTGGGTGTGTAATTTTGTGGACTTTGTGTGAAATTTATAGAAGAAGTGGTGTGGTCTGGAGAGAGCGCTCCAACAGCTTTCTCTGATGGATTTTACAGCTTGACAGATAATACTACATAATAGAGTTTTCATCAAACAATCAGATTTAGGTGCTTAAAGTATTATCAATGCTTGAGTACGACATTGTCGGTTTGTCTTGTCTTGCCAGCACACCAGCTCCTGACAGCAATACTCACAGCTCTCCTGCTACTAACACAACAACAGACAAAACATTAGCAACACTAACGCTACTCACCTTTTAAGTAGAAATAGAAAAACCTCGGCATCCATCTTGATGCCTTTCAACTCTCAGAGGTCTCTCCACCGTTGGAAAGGTGTTTTTTTTTCAAAATTTATCAGTAGATGGAGCCTCAGTACAGCAGCCCTAACATCCCCTGAGAACTGGAATGTCAAATGAGGTACAATGTGAAATTCAACAATTTTACTACAGGTTATCGTAAGGACACCGCATACTGCATGTACAGTTGCCAAGATATTACAAATGCATGTAGTTCAACTTTCAGATAGGGAAGAAGCTGGAAGTTATTCAATGCAGAAACCAACAGAAAAATAGGAACTCGTGGGAAGCAACAACTAAAGTGTTTATTTCTCTCACAGGTGCCTATGTCCCAGAGGGTCTGATGACGTCTTGTTCCTGGGACTACATGACATTTACCCCTTCTGTCCGCTCCTACACCATGCTGCTCTTTACCTTTGTCTTCTTCATCCCTCTCGCCATCATCATCTTTAGCTACTGCTGCATCTTCAGAGCCATCCGACACACAACACGGTTGGTACAAGTGTGATGATATTGATGTCTTGCTGATTAACAACTTTGTCAGAGTTTATCTATTCCACTGATGTCTCACTCGACCTGAACGATAATACTGCCTATCCTGGCAGTACTGTCAGTGTTGGTGATTGGTGAATTTTGTGTGTACACGACGAGTACAATACACGACTACATCAATTAACTTAGACGTCAAAATAAATTAACTAAAAAGAAAAATACAATAAAACCCCTGACAAATATAAGCTTTCATAACCATGTTGAGTGTCTCTGTGTTTGACAGAGCGATAACAAAGATCAAATGTGAGGGAACAAGAAACTCTGCCAAGAGATTCCGTAAGATGAAGAGTGAGTGGAAGATGGCCAAGATCGCACTTATTGTCATCCTACTATATGTCATCTCCTGGGCCCCTTACTCCTGTGCAGCCCTCACTGCATTCGCTGGGTAGGTATGTGTACTTTGTTAAAGACCGCTAAAGAGATATTTTCTTTAATCTAGTGATTCAAAGCATCCCCATAATAATGAAGCGCTATATTTTGGGGGGATGTAGTTCATAATAGTAAAGCAGTACAGGTAGTTTAAGCTCATCTATTCATCTATCACCATTTTAACCAGACAGGGGTTGTGGTGGCAGCAGGTTTAGCAATGGATATATGAGAGAACATCCAGGGTTTTTTCATTATAAAGCAAGACAAAGATCTAATATATTATATATATAATGTACCAATAAATATTACTTTAAGGCTCTGCAAGTTGATACTAGTTATATTGGCATAAAATGAAACTACTTGCTGCCTGAAAGATGGGACATTAATTGTGATTCAGACACATTTACAGCAAATAGTTATACAGATAGATTTGGCATAAATGTTTCTGCTCTTTAGGGGAGCTCTCAAACTATCTGGGCAGCAATGAGGATTTTGGGAGAGCTAATCCCCATCATAACAAACATATGCATGAACTTGAAATCAAAGAACAGATTTTAGTTAAACATAATCAACATTTTTATAATAACAATGTATCAAATGACAATGTGAAAACAATGTGACGATGTGAAAGGAGTTGCTCGGAGTGATGAACTTACAAAGAATTTTCACATGAATCTACAGCTCCCCTCAACTATATGGAGCTTTATGGTAAATGGTCTGTACTTGTATAGCACCTTTTCAGTCTTTCAGACCACTCAGAGCACTTTTACAATTCATCACATTCACACACTGTACGGCAGAGGCTAAGGTGCCAACTGCCATCAGGAATGGCAACAAATTCATACACATCCACACACCGATGGAGCAAGGGTTTAGTATATTGCCCAATGACACATTGACATGCAGACTGAGGGAGCCAGGGATCGAACTACTGACCTTATGATAAGTGCATGACCGCTCTACCCCCTGGCCTCTCTCTCATAGCTTTGTTTTCAGCAGCAAACTCCACTGTACACTACTCAGCACCAAAAGAGTGAATACGTCTCCTTTGTGTGAAATATTAAAGTGCTAACTGTTAGCCACGTTTTCTAAAGACACAGTTTTTGTTTATTACTGGAGAACAGAAACATACCTCCAAATGAAAGATAATGTTGCTTCATAACTGCTGGATGTGTAAATAGGCAACGAACGAGTTCACCGTATCAACTTTATAAGATCAATATATGTCAATGTTGTGTTTACAGCTTGTTTTTGCTGCCCCCAAGTGACAGCTAAAAATCAGCAACGCTACGCTTAATACTGTAGCATAAAATCAGTAAAAATACACTGTTTGCATTTCAAGTGCACATTTTATGTGATCTTTAAACAACAACATCCAACATTGAAAGTGAGTGCGACTGTGAGCCTCACCCCTGTGTCTCTACACACCCACCACTGCTCTTGTCACATGAATGTGTCTAATTCCCTTCTCTCATTTTTCTCCCTCTTGCCAACATCTGTCCCCACTCTCCTCTCTTCTGACTCTCTCAGGTACGCTCACATGTTGACTCCATATATGAACTCTGTTCCTGCTGTGATCGCCAAAGCATCTGCTATCTACAACCCCATTGTATATGCCATAACACACCCCAAATACAGGTACAATGCACACAATAATGCAAGTGTTAGTAGTTTCATTAACAGCAGATTAATGTGATGGAAATAACATACTTTAATTTATCATTTCCACAGGCTTTTATTGGAGACCCAGCTATACTCTTTCTCCCTCGCTCTCTCTGAAATTCAAGTTTACCTTCTTTGCATATATTTGCATAAAGTACAGTATTGCAGGTTGCATTGGGTTTGCAATGTAAGTAATACTAATAATTTGTACTCTTTACTATACTATACAGTGTATTATAAAGATAAGGAAAAACAAAAGACTTTGCAAACAAATAAACAAAAATATTTAAAAAACATGATACAATGAGAGATACAATTGTCAACAAAACAGGAGGAAATTTTTGAAGTAGCTCAGCTTCATTTGTTATTCCTCCAGTTTTACCTCGGGATGTGAAATGCTTTCATATATTTTGCTGCTTCCATGGCAATATCTGTTTTCTCCCCAAGTAAAATGTTATTTGGTCTAAGAGTGTTTCAAATTTTTGGTTTTGCTCTTTCTCTACTTGTTGATGGCAGAACTGGCTCTGTTTTCTCTGTGTTGTCAGGTTTGTCTGTGTCTACCCACCTCAAGGCTCTAGGGTATGGTCACTCTGTACATATTCAATTAATGGTTCTGGTTGCTCACAATGGCAAATAATCTGTCTTGTCTGATCAGCACTAAATACAACGGAAGATTATTTTCAGAATTTGTTGTAGTAGACCAGTAGTTAGTGTCAGTGACGTTTTTGACACAGAAATGTTGGTGGATCAAGGCACATCATCTTTGATTTTACCAGGCATCATCTGACATAGTAGTTTGACACTCTAATATAAAACCAATTAATGTCAATTCCAGTTTGTGGTTCCAATTTTAATTCAACAGTGACTAAAATAGATGACTAAAAAAAACGACAGGAATGTTATGAACTAATAAACTCAGAGAGAGAGAGAGAGAGAGAGAATATTAAAAGTAGTAGCCCAAGGGCGGGATGAAGTCAGTATTACAAGAGCTGGATCCCATTTGGACCTTTTTACAATTCTAAAACTTAAACATATGCCAAGTTGATAAACCAGACTAACTAAAAGAGAGGTCAATTAAAAATATAATACAAATGCAACAGGAAAATTATTCACATTATTTCTTGAAACCAAAGGTTGCTCTATATTCTTTCCTGCGTGAAAACATCTCAATAACTTTGCTGTTGTCCATTAATGAATTCATTTTCAATTGATTACATGGCAAAGGTGTTCATCCTTCCCTGTCCCACTGTGTTGCGTGTAAATATCATAATCCTTTTCAGTGTGAAAAAATTTCTGAGAAAGCTGGCTACAGGTTGCTGTCATGTATTGACCTCAACAGAAACAGTGCATTGGTGCAGTGGCTCAGTTGTGTTTTGCCTTGTTCACAATGGACCATATGTTTACAGCTCACTAAAGCTATGTGCAAGGAAAAGCAACTGAAATCAAATAGTCATTTTTGCAAAAACCTATTGCACGCCTCCTTCATAACCGCCAATGTGTTGTTTTACTCCGCTTTACACTGTTTTGTGCATCTTGATAACATCTGCTCGCCCCACAGCTGGTTCATGTGGCTCTTGAGATTTCCAACTGCCGGGCTAATACAGTCTTCATTACCATCTCCTTTGTGTGAAATATGCTATATATGCAAATATATAAAATATAAAATATGCAAAGTGCTAACAGTTAGCCATGTTTTCTAAAGACACAGTTTTTGTTCATTACTGCTTAAGTGAAGATGATATCAGTAGGTTTGTGTGGTCCATTTTTCTCTTTAAGATAATCTCCAGCTTCATTTCCAATGGCAAGTGCTAAACTTTTTTAGCTTTTAACAAATTATTCACACAATTCATGCTTTAAATTTCAATTATTGGTACAGGTTTGCTGTTACATTAGCAATGCACTCACTGGAATACTAACCAGCACAACAATTAAAAATTAAGACAAATACGTATTAATTGACTTCACCAGTGAATGGCAGATTTGTACAGTGAGATGGGTGATACCAGTCATGGGGCCAACACCAAAGGGCCCCTCAGGCAATCATAGAAAATGAGTATGGCATGCACAGAGAGGCTTCTCTACCAAACTCTATTACTGGGGTACTGAAGGGCCAGCCTTATCAGCTTGTCCCTGCCAGCCCAACAGCCGAACTGTTCGCCACCACCAGAACAGACAAACAGTAGTTTGCTAACCGCAATAAATATGAATGCATAGAAGTCTTTTACCTTGCCTCAATAATAAAATTACAGTATGTATCTTAAAATAGGAATGAATAGCAATGTCAAGCAAAAACTGAATTTCTGGATGTGCTTTTTTTCATTCACAAGTCAGTCCAAATACTCCAAATCGTCTGCACAATTCCATCTGGTATGGCCTAATGTAAAGTCGCTGGTGGGTGGTGTACTTTTCTTTTTCTTTGGCTTTAATTTCCTTGGCCTAGGTTGTGTGAGGGCAGTGCTGAGGCAACGTACTGTTCTAATGGGTGTATTTTTGACACTAATTGATTCACTTGATGGAGAGCAACGATTGCAGCGTGCAGAGGGTTTGCATGTGAAAAGGCTTTGTTAGATGTGTGTTTCTGAAAGCCAGCCAATTACAGCACTTTCCCTCTAGTGGCTTCATATAGTCTTCTTACAATCTCAGAATCTTGTGGGAGAAATCACAAGCAGCCCATGCTGACACTCAAAGTTCTTGTGGTCGCCTCATGGTTTCTGTAGCTGTCATAGAATTTAATATACTCTCCCTGTGGAAACATCTGTCAACAGTGTATATGGTGTCTATGTGTAGCACTACCACAAACCACTGAATGCACAAATCAAGCATATCGTAATTTCAGGCAGACAACAAAGTCAAGCTCAGCTCACAATCCCAGCACATCAGCTGATTGCAGCCCATCTCAAAGCCAGCCACATCAGCTAGCAGCTCAGCTGATTCCCCTCATGGCATTCATTGGTAAATTCCATAAAAGGCGCCTTATTTAAGCTGCTTTAGCCTGTCTACCCTTGCTGCTTTCTCTGCAAGCAACTTGTTTCCCACTGCTACCCCAGCTCCTCCTTTCAGGCTGTCTGATTAATAATATTATTTCTGTTGTTATAGATGCCTGCTCTGTTCTGTACCTTGGGGCTTTCCACGTAGGCACGTGGAAGGGCAGGGATATCCCAGAACAGAGCCATACTGTCAAACATAACTTACTACAGAGCAAACATCAGTATTTTTGATTAAAGTTGTCCTGACTGAACTATAAATTACTATGAATAATTATTCCTCTTGGCAACACAGAGCAAATGTAATGTAGCTGCTGGGGTCACTGGCTTTAATGTATTTATATAATTTGTTTATTCTTTTTTTAAACCCTAATTGGCCTAATTCAGCTTGGCATTCAGGGTTGTCAGAGGTCCCTACGCTTTACTATCATATAATAAAATTTGTTCATTTGGATTTTAATATTTCTTTCTATCTCTCTCTCAGGTCAGCACTCACCAAGTACATTCCCTACCTCGGGGTATTGCTGTGCGTTACTGGAAGAGACCGTTTCAGCAGCAGCAGTCTCCAGTCCACCCGCCGATCAACCCTCACCAGCCAATCAGAGAGCAAATGCCCCAGCAGACCGCACAACTCCTCCCTTTCTGACAGCGAATCAGTGAGTGTATCTCATATCTAATATGGTATGTCTATGTCTTACACTTCCTATTACAAATACTTTGAATTACGAGTTGCTGATTTTAGTCTTGTGTGTTTGTGATTTCGTCTGTGTGTCTTCTCAGGCTCGCTTCTCAGACACGGAGGAGGATTGCTCATCTCAGATTCCTGCCAGTCGTCAATTGTCCAGTGATGTCAAACAGGTGCGTCATGCCAGCCAGAGGTCAAAGGTGAGAGGCCACAACACAAGAGAGTTTGAGAGAACTGCCACCCACAACGCCACTGACCCGGCCATATATCTCCTCTCACAAATTACAGTGAGTATTGGAGCCTGGCTTATGTTGTACATTTCTAACTTTAAATGTCAGATAGGTATTTAGGATGAGAGATTAAACATTTTGAAGGATCAAAAGCAGGTCCAGAAACCTTTTGACTCAGCACTTCTGGAGATATTTAGAGTATAGATTTAGTTTAGACTGGCATTGAATTCTCGCTTTTATCAGCTAATAGGTATCAGCTGTTTCAGTCTTGCTTCACAATCACTGGCTCAATCACCAGCTGGTGTGGCTTGAATGAACTCATTTTCACTTTGACATTACGGTTTAATATGTTAAATTGTGGACTGTAGAGTCTCAGCAATGAAGTTGGTGCATTTATTGTGGACAGCCAACAGGAAAGATCAGAGGTTATAAAAAAAGTAAATTTTCCTTTTATATTATATAGTGAACAGCATCAAATTGATGAGCATTATGTTAGATTATGGCATTTTAAAAGAAGACACAACAAACACAAAGAAAACATTTCTTTTTTATTTGCTTGAAATGTAATTGTTAGCATTTTAACACATCTTCATAATGAGGCTTGGCCAAAACCCGGCACTTTTTATCTGAATGGTGCTTCTTGGCGATTGCAACATTCCTAAGCATTGTGCTGTAAGGCCAATGGAGAGTGACAGGTCATTCTATGTGGGGCATCCAGTATATGGAGCATTTCCGTTTCTCTGTAATCATCTTAGTTCACAGAAAAATTCACCATCAACCCACATGTCCGCACATATGCAAACACACACATACAGAAGCACTGCCATGCAGGTCAGATTCAATGAGGACTGCATTACAGAGGGTCCAAAGACTAATCCAATAATCTGAGTCTTTCATACTTAATCCACAGCTTGCATGATGTGACCCCATGTTTCAACATATTGCACTTGTTGGCAGACGAAGATGACTGATTGTTTAGGAGTATCTGACCTCCTTCTGCTTTCATCACTGCACAGAGCAGATTGTATACTTTTTACTTTTTTCTGTAATCTGTGTTTACCAATTTTCAACCAGTGGTGTAAAAGACAAAATAACATAAAAATGTACTTTTACCTACATAATTTCCGTATGTGATTAGTATAATTTTGACTTTGGCATATTTCCTTTTTTTGTCCATTTTTTATTAAATTTTTTTTTTTAAATTAATTACAATATTACAGAAACAAATGTTTGTACCTGTAGGGTAACTCTGAAGTACTTACAATACCTGATACTTTTAGACTTAAAGAAATAGTTTGACATTTTGGGAAATGTGCTCATAGTCTTTCTTGCGGCGAGTTAGATGAGAAGAGTTGCCACTTGCACGTCTGTACACTAAATATGAAGCTACAGGCAGGAAACAGCTAGACTCTTTCTGTCTTTAGGTAACACAATCTGTCTATCAGCACCTCTAAAGCTAATTTATTAACACATTGTTTGTTTAAAAGTGTATGATTGTCAAAAGTTCTGGAATTTAGTGGGGATTATGTGCTGGACAGTGTGTTGGCCGTGCCCATGACTTAAGTCTCAGTTTGTCACCGGACCGTAAGTCAGTTTACAGAAGTCACAATGTTAAACACATGGTAACACATATGTTTAGGTTAGGCAAAAAAACAATACTTGGTTATTTGGAAAACTTTGTGGTTTGGGTTAAAATAAGTGACTTTACTTTTACTTATTTAGCAGACATTTCTATCCAAAGCGACTTATAATTGCTATATGTCAGAGGTCTTTAAAGAGGTCACTGAACACTTGACTCAAACATTGGTCTCCTGTGTGAAAGTCCTGCATTTGTTTCACCCATCCACCAACAACAACCTCCTTACACGGAATTTCTTGCTCTTTATAATGCATCACCTGACTTCCTCCTTTGCTACCTTCATAGGCCACTAGAGACCTAACAATAAATGTAAATATGGGTCATAATAATCACAAGAAAGACTGGATGACAAGACTCCAGCTTTAGAGGTGCTTGTCATAGGGTTTAATTATCTTTTGGACAGACCTCTTTCAAGTCTATGCTAAGCTAAGCTTACTGGCTACTGGCTGTAGCTTCATATCCAACAGACAGATATGATAGTGGTGTCGATCTTCTCATCTAATTCTCAGCAAGAGAGTAAATAAACCTCTTTCCCAAAATGTTTAACCTTTTTAACCTTTAAGAATGAATTTTGATTACTTTTCATAACACGATGGGTATCATGAAAACCATTAATGATTTTCAATGTTAATGCTAATCCCGTTGCTCTTGGCACACGTAATTGTTACTGGCATAAGCTGGGGACTATCGGAGGAAAATTATGTGCTTTTGAGAGAGATCCTTTATCTGAAAGGTCTGTGTTCAAATCCCAATTAGAAGTTTCTCTACTGTGACAGTACAAAAGATATTTTTAACTAAATGGCTGTGTTTATGTGCGTACTGTTCAGACTCAGACAGAGCCTGAAGACATCTCCATGTCGGCCATCAATCTGCAGCCAACCAGTCATCTGCCTGCTACTGTAAGATACCTCTGATCACCCCACCTATTGCTCTGTGCAGTAGATGTCGCATCTGTTTTTTTGTAACAAGAAAATCAACAAATCCCATGAAAAAATGAAATCAACAACACAACTATCCTACTAACAGCTATTGTCTGTGTGGAAAAGGCCTGAGTTTGCTTATTTTCTCATAGAACTCTGTGGTTGTCCAGACACTAAATCTCCTTCTTTCATTACAGTGAACGGCCATGTGTTTATTCCTCTCAGCTCATTGTAATTGCATCAGTACCATAAAGTAAAATTTTTCAGTATTGTTATTTTTTTGTGTATATTCTGTCTCTTAATTGTGGTGTAGTCTAGTCATTTAGTGCACCTGTAGTGCAGGATGTCATGATTTTCAAAATCACCACTGCTGATGGCCTTGACCTTGCTTTTTTCTACCTTTATGCCTGTTAAAGTTGTACTTACACTATAAAGAGTCTAGTCTAACGTAATCTAATTATAACATTTTGACATGACATAATAATGCTCAGTGTCTTGTTACTTCAAGATATGTTTTATGATAGAATGATATTATTCCAATTTAACAAGACACCTTTCATATAATCATTTTGTCTGGATTTGGTGTCAGATCCAGTAAGTAACAGTGCTTTCATGAGATATGTCTGAACTGTTATTTTTTGAGTTGATTTTGTGTAATAACAAGTTTCATGACATAAGAAGATGAAGTAATATGTTGTTATAGCAAGAAAAGTTTCTCTGGGAAAAGTGAATAATTTGAGAGAAAATTATTTATTTTAATCACAAGAATCGTATATCTTAAATTAAATGTGTTTTAGATGAAGAAGCAGAAAGGTACTTTTGTTGTGATTACATCATGCAGACGCCACGGTCAACTGATCAAACAAAAGAGATGTGTTTTAGATGAAATCATCATTTCCAATGATGCAATATACTACTAAAAGAGAGTAGTATATGCAACACACAACTACTGTGTGATAGATTGAAAGGTATTGTTATTAGTTTACGCAGGTGGTTTTATAACACATGTTCATTGTGATAAAGGATTATATCACTGAATGCAATATTGTCGAATAGTGTTTTGGACAACAGTGGAGTTTTATAGAGCAGATTCAAAAGCTACATCAGGGTTTGTCTATGCAGTAAGATAAATTCCTTGTTTGGTTTGGTCTTTTCAAGCGATGTTTATAATAAAAACCTGAATCAGCCCTAAACTTTCCCATCTGTCCTGCCCAGATGTTTTGTCATTTGTGTTTTTGGGCTATTTAAAAGGTATGTCAGCCATTCTACAACATTGCTCAGTGTTTCCACCACATTTAAAATAGCTCACTGAAAATAACTCTGAACTATGACTATGAACTACATGTTTAAAAATCAAGTGTAAAGTAATGTGAAATGGTTGGCATATCTCTTTAGTCCTTCCTTTTCCCCTTTGCCCATTCTAGTCAATATAATCCACCGTGCTTTCCAGCCTGTCCAGTTTCATTTCCTGCTTCTCCAATGTCAATATTAATCAAACCATGTGGAAAATCAAAAGCATAGGAGCTTCAGTGTGTCATCCTGCACTCATACTTTGACACCCAAACCCCATGTTTCTGCAACCAAGTGATTATGTTGTCAGTTTTGGATGGCCTCTGCTCTCAAGACAAAAGAGTGAAGGGATGAAGATTGATTGACTGTCTGTTCCCCACAGACAGAAGTGTAATGAAAAGAAAATTGTACTAAGAATTGAAGAAAGTTCGAATGGGCTCCTCCTGTACAAAGACAGACTTGTGTTCACAGAAAAATCATTAAGATTAGTTAGGATTTTAGGTACATATTAAGTTTGTTTGTTTAACAATTTAATCATTACTTTTTATGCAAATATGTTTTTATTACCAGTTTAATGCCAATATCTTGTTAGCTTGGCTTAGCATAAAGGTAGTTAGCCTGCTTTCCTCCAATAGTAGCAAAATTTGCTCACCAGCACCTCTAAAGTTAACTAATTAAAACGCTTCATCTTGATTGTTTGAACCATAAGAAAAACACGTTTTGGGGGTTAGATGCGTGACTATTTGTGTGACTTCCCTATTCCCTATTTGGCTTCCCTAGTCTCTGCTGGTTGTCACTGATGGTTTATTTTGTTACCTTCAGACAGATGCTTGCTTTTTCCCCCTGTTTCCAGTCTTTATGCTAAGCTAAGCTAACTTGCTGCTTGCTGCAGCTTCATACAGACATATGACGTATCGATCCTTTAATCTAACTCTTGGCAAATATGCAAATAAGCCTATTTTCCAAATTATCAAACTATTGCTTTAACTTGGGGAGTACAATAAAATGTTTATGTTTTGGGCAAAACTAGAAAAATAACACCCATATGCTCATTTAAAGTACTTTGCTTGTCTAGTGCAGAGCTATTGATCTTATGTTGTCAACCAAGTGATATAGTCCCACTCCATCAAGGGCATTGTTGGAGAGCCATTCATCAATCCAATCAATCAATGTCTTTGATCAGCTGTGACCATGGCTTGTGCGCCGACAGAGGAGACAGCAACAGTTGATAAAACTTAATTCTCTCCCCTAACCTCCACCTCCGTGTGTTTTTTTCTCCTTACACAAATATCCAGCCACCTACTCACATGTCGACAATACCTTACCATCTCTCTCTCTCCCTCTGCCTACACAGCTGGAGAACGTGATGGAGGAGTCGGGGCTAAGGACTACCTGTAAGACAACGTCATCTGTCATTGTCACCTCCATATCCAGCCCATCTATAATGCATAGTCCCCCAGGTTTCCATGGCAGCCTCAAATTGACCAAAACTTACAGTCCAGTTACCAAGGAGCCCCTTGACATAGCCAGACTGGAGACAACAGCATTACAATGAACAGTATGTGCGAGTGTGTGTGTGTGTGTGTGTGTGTGTGTGTGTGTGTGTGTGTGTGTGTGTGTGTGTGTGTGTGTGTGTGTGTGTGTGTGTGTGTGTGTGTGTGTGCGCACATTTATGTGTGTTACTTATTCTGACATATGGTGGTTGGAGATTTTACCTCAGAGCCAGGAGTAGCAAATTAGCCTTAAAACACAATGTCAAAAGTTCTGTCTCTAGGGTTGGTTATATTTGAATATAAAATATAATTCTTCTTTATCTTGCCTTACAGAAGTTGAACAAATAATTTTTTTCCTCGAGTGTAGTTTGATACAATTAGCTTACTGTGGGCTATTATGACTACAACTGGGGACATCAAAAATGCTGAAATTATTTTTGCACAGTTTATGAGCCATATTTTAAACACTATATGCGTTAATGCATACCTAACTTACGATGTAGGCAGATATACTTTGTCTATGCTTTCTAAAAGCAAGCTTTTAACCAATCTCTTTCTCTTAATATGAAATCAGACTTTCTCTTGTTTGTTTTTCATTTTTCTACTATACAGAATATTTATATTAAAGATGCATTAATGTTTTTTACATTAACATTGAATCAAATGACTCCTGGTTATGTACTGGTAGCACTATAGAGTAATAGTAATAATAATTACATATGATAGAAATAAATAATAGTGCATTCCAATTTAGTGTATTCAGACCACACGCAAATTTTTATCGCTGGACAACTGCCAGGTATTTTACACACAAAGCGAACGCAAATAAACACAACCTGAGATTACTACAGCTCTATGAACCCAAAGTAAACATTTTGCTGTGATTTAATTGCAATGGATTAGTCTGCTGCCAAAATAACTATAATATGATGCAGTTTTGTTAAACATATGAATTCATTCTTTGTCAGATCTTCTTCTAAAATGTTTGTTTTCTGAATGGAGTTCGGATCGATTGGGGCTATGCTATGCTAACTTGTTCACAGTAAAGTAAAACGATAGCCGGAATAAAGTAACAGACACATATTTTCTGAACTCATCAGGTGGTTCAACTTCTTCTCTTTCTTTTCTCCAAGTAATGTCCAGTTTTGTCATTTTTTAAATAAATATGAAGTAGTAGTCCAACAGAAGTCTGGGTGCCAAACGATGCTAACAACAGTGGAACCAGAAATGCACAGAAGCTAGCTGCTGAGAAGCTCGAGTGAAGATAAATCAACATTTTAATCCCAAAAACTAAAGTAAAAAGCTGATTTAATAAAAGCAGTTTACTCTGAGCTCCTCCCGCAGAGTTGAAAATTTTCAGTCACGTAAGGCCTTCGTGTCGCCGGCAGTACTCCCTCCGCACCGCCTCCTTTGCACCACCCGACAGGAAAACCGCCCCCAACGCTCGTTTCACTTTTGGCCTGAAAGCACCATTAGAAAACTGTAAACTGTAGCCACCTTGCTCCCACAAGGTTCTCATGTGACATAGTTGCAGCGCTGGCGACAGTAAAAATTCCTAACCAGCTTATGTTAAGTCCAGCATGCATCACGTTAAGTCAGCGCTGCGAATCAACACATGAGGGCAAATGTACCTACACTGTTCATTCCAGTCTTTCTGCTCCCTAGTGGTCAAAAATGCTTTAATGCAGCTTTAATATGAGTTGTTTTATTTCTAAACTGGGTAATCAGGCGCACATGGGCACAAGTGACAGGATGGGAGAGGAGACAGTCAGTTTTTGTTTCCCCTTTAGCTCTTTATCATTGATTTTTCCATTCCTGGTAACATGAAGCACCACAGATCTGGCAAATCAGGTCACAAATGTGTCACAACAGCATATTACATCACCAAACAAGTATGTGCGAGCGAGTATGACTGTGTGTGTCTGAAGTTGAAGAACTTTACTCTGTACTGTACTTGCATTTCTCTTGATGCCATACTAATATCTAATATTCGATATATAAGTGACAGTTTGCTAAATGACAACTGTTGTTAAGTGTGTGGTTTCAGAGTTGTTATCATAGAGCTCATCATAGACATATGTACAGAACCACTTCACCAATGTGTTTTAACATCCTTTTCACTGTACATATTTCCAAAAGCTCTTTTAGTCCACTTCAGCACATTGCCGTTCCCTTTGAAATTGCTGCGTCCTTGGCTATGATTGTAATAACTGTTCTGTTCACATGTCAAATTAAATCTGTCACATACTCAAATTTTCATGTATGTTAAATGATAAGCAGGCAAATTATAGATTAAAATCTTAGTTAAAGAGGCCACAAAGGTTAATGCATTTCCACGGTTGCTCATTTGTCCCCATCAATGAATGTACAAAAGTACATGTTTTAAAAAAATAATAATATATACATATGTATATATATATGTGTATATATGTTTATATGAATTATTGATTATATGATATTGATGTTTAATGAAGTGATGGTTTCATGATGATTTTGTTTTCTTTGTACAAAATGTTTTGTGTTGTTATTATTTATTTTTCTAAATAAAAATGTTGCTAAATTCGGCTCATTTGGTGGTTGTGTCTCCATGTCTTTGCCTTTGTGATGCTTGAACTAGCCATGCATGAAGCTAGGGCAATTTAGGATCATTTTTGCAATTAATTAATCTGTCAACCATTTTCTCAATTAATTAAACTGTCCTTCAATATTATCACACCATCCACTTATACATTACAGTGTTCTTTAATAGGGTTCACTTCTTTAAAGAAACGCTCACTCACTCAAGTGGATTTATCTTTGGCAAAAAATTAAACATCCTTTTGCTATACTCATATATAAATTCACATACACACATTCATTCACCATAATGACTGTGATTACTGTAGCTCCTAATGCATCGTGTCTATCAATGTCGACTGACCAGTGTATTCGTAAATCATGAGGTCAGTTTCCTGAATGGAAGAGACTCATACAGTTCAGCTGATAACAGCTAGAACATCCTGTCAGATAACAGAACGGCATTAGCAAAGGTCATATCTGTCCAACATGTCAGAGAGCAGGTGTTATGGTGCTGTTTGACCTGTATAGGCCTCCCTGTAGAACTATGGCGCCCTACAGAGGTGAGAGTTAGTACTCTATTTACATGAGTAGAGGGTGTAAGTGGGTGGAGGAGACAGAGATTATTCTGTCATTGACATCTATTAATGTCTGTATTTTGTCTCATTCGCAAACTCGCAAAAAAGTTTGTCTTAATTATTTTGTATTTCCCAAGAATGTTGCAAAATGCTTTACTTAAGTAAAAGTGCAATAAAAAACTCAATTACAAGTAAAAGTCCTGCACTGAAAATGTCAAATTAAAAAAAGGAATATTTCCAAAATGGCCCCTTAACTTCACTTGATATATTCTTGGGTAGATTAATCTATATCAGCGCATCATGTTTTATCAGCTCATCATATGTTTTGTTTGTCAAATCTTAATCTGCAGAGTAACTAGTAACTATAGCTATCAGATAGATTTATTTGACTTAACAGTACAATATAAGTGTGAAGCAGCATGAAATGGAAATACTTAGAGTAAAGTACTGTAAATCTGTACGTACATTGTACTACTGGAAAAGAGTAAAACATGGTATGTGTTTATTATAGTGAAACAACAACAAATAATTGAAAACAAGTCATCAAAAATCTAAGAATATAAGGGGTCCCTGTGGGGAAACTTGGGATTCATGTTGCTGTAGACCAGCCCTATTTATACAGTAAAATTACATGTGAATAAATATATATAGATATACGTATATAAATATATAATCAAGCTAATTACAAATACAAAAATATACTAATAACAGTCTATGAAAAATACACACACATAAACTAGAATATATATACATACAAGATCTTGAAAAGAGAAGCTAGACTGTTTGATTTTTTCCCACAGTGAAACTAAACGCATTGACGCAAGCATTGATTAAAGAGCTTGACACAAATTTTTAAACAGCCATAACCTTGCAGTAAAGGTGTGCGTTGTCTTATCTTAAAACAAGTGTTTTTTCCTCACCAGGTTCTGTGGAAAACTATCTACAACCCTCTAGTACTTTGGTCCATATAAAATCCAGGGCGCTGACGGATCACTACAGCTAATAGCTAATTCTGTACTCTGGGGTAATGATTAGGGAGGTATCGTTGAGATTACTTTTGTGATTGGTGTAGTTTAAGAACACAACTTCTCCAAGTTGTGGATTACTGGCTCATTTTTACTTGGGGATCAAACACCTTTTCTTCTGATCTCTTGTGTTTAGTATCACACCAGAGCACAAACTGATCCATTTTCGAGGTGTGTGTGAGTGACTAATATTCACAAAAAATATCAGGACGTGATTAAAAAATATGCAGCTAGTCTTTCACCACCTTTTTATACAATGTCAGAATCTGATGTTTCTCTTCCTTTAACTTCACAGCGCGCACACACACACACACACACACACACACACACAAATACAAGACTGGCAGCTTGGTCAGCTTGGTGGGAGTGTTTCTAGGGAGTTGGTGCTGGTGTAATTTGTTGTTTCCTTTCTCGAGCAGAACAAAAGGACTGATATCTGTGCACAGAGACTGATAACGGATAATTAGGTGCTAGCAGCATGAAGTGATAGCACTAAGAGAGGGAGAAAGAGGGAGGGAGAGAGAGAGAGAATGTGTTGCAGTAAGAGGGGTCTATATTGGCGATGTGAATCGGCAGTGAAGCATTCTGGGGCTTCGTGTTACAGGCCTTATAAGGGCCAGGGCCCCTGTGTCTCTGCTCACCGCTATTCATAGGCTGTCTGTCCCTTGCCCTCAGCAACTCTGCAGGTAAGAAACTTGTCTACAGTTGACTTTTGAGAGTTTCTCAAATTTGAGGTTTGTTGAGGGAGTTTTAAGAGGCCTTTTTGTGACTCTAGTCAGGAGAAATAGTCTATGGTTTTTCTGCAGTGGCTCAGCTTGGCTCTACACTCTCTTTGTGTGTGTGTGTGTGTGTGTGTGTGTGTGTGTGTGTGTGTGTGTGTGTGTGTGTATTTACACATATGTATCTGTGTGTATTTGTGTGCACAAATGCATGCCTATCTGTGTCCCTCCGTTTGTGTCACAGAGGTTCCACAGCACCTCACCCACCCACCAGCACCACCACAACCCCAGGGTGTTTGTCCTGAGAGCTGGGACCAGACAAGGAGAGACGGTAGTGAAGCCAGGGCTGACCGAGGAGAAGCGACCACGAGACGTCGGCTGGGATAAAAGGATAGCACGGGAGGACAAGGGCACCGAGCAGGAGGAGAAACCGCACAGCCAGCAGGAGTTGTTAGCAGGAGGAGTGTTGACGTTTAACCGAAGATGAGTACGTACACAGTGACTCTGAATGGCCCTGCTCCATGGGGCTTCAGACTACAGGGAGGAAAGGACTTCAATATGCCACTCACCATCTCCAGGGTAAGGACAGTCACCCTTACAGGCTGAGATTTGTTGTCACAGAGAAACTTACAAATAAAGAATAAGTTACAGCTACGGGACATTCACAACATGCCACACCAACAACAGCAGACTTTGCTGTGACAAAACAATGCACTGGCTGTATTAGATTTTAATGAAATGTAACAAAATCTTCAGCACAGACTATAGTACACTAACTGACTGACTGAATGACTTTGACTGATGGCAAAGGAAATGAAAACCAACATACATGATGCACAATAATGTAAACACAGAACTGAGCATGTCCAGCTTAAAATTTTTTTGGTGATTTGCAGGTGAAAATATGGGTAGGGGTCTCAGTAAAACCCAAAATAGGTTGAAAAGTGAGGGCTTTTTAGACATTTAACATTAACAACATTTAAATGTTTAAAAGTTTTTAAAAAAAATTTAAAAGTGGAGTAGGTTTATTATAGGACCTCCTACACTGTAACATTCAGTCTTTCAAACAGTTAAATATAAATTAGATGTCTGAAAACATTAATTTTCCTAACCAAATTGATCATTCACACCTGAAAATCCCTTTTTTCATTGGTTTTATGATAACATGTTGCATGTTCACTTCATCAAGCTTGTGTTTTCGCATGTGCATACTGTATATGCATGTGATACGTGTGCACATAGGTGTGAGCAGTGGCTGAGCAGCGGTTATGTAATGTTGCTGTACGGGATGATGACAGGGAGGATCAGATGTAATCTCCAGAGAGACTTCTAAAACAGTGCAGCAGAGGAGAGACTGGAATAGTTTTACTGGAGTCGAGTTGCAGCTGCATTAGTCAAATTTTACTGCTGTTGGATTTCTTGAACATTGCTCTTGAACAAAATTGGTACAATATATATTTTACATGCAAAGTCAATGCGTATTTCACCCTCAAATTTTAGCTTGACAGGTTGGCTCGATTAATCATCTAAAGAGGAAATTACTTTTTATCACAGTACAGTGAATTGATTATTTTGATTATTTTTAGATTAATTTAATTATTTTAACTGTCAAATCTCATGCAAATGATGTGTCATTCCAAAAATGGCATTACATCAACAACATGGCAATGTAACAAGTTAACAGACTTGTTGCAACTGTTGCAAATGACAACAGACAAACACAACAACATGATTTACTAAATAAAATAAAATTATACTAAGAACATAAACACTCTGTTTTCCTATATATACATTAAAGCATTCTCAACCATCAGGATAGATGAAAATTATTTCCCAAAACTAGAAGAATTTGAGAAAAGGTCAAATTATTACAGCAGATGAATGTGTTTTAACTTCTGCAGCACATAGACAGGGTGTCAACCTCTCTCTCTCTGGCAGGACTGCGGGTGTATTTACAGCGTTTCCTTTAAATAGCACTAGAGGAGAGGTGGATGGATGGTTGGAGAGGGCTGGGAATGGGACGGGGAAGAAGCAGAGAGAGAGAGAGAGAGAGAGAGAGAGAGAGGGGAAGGTAACGGCAGCTTATGTTACCTTTAGTAAGCTTTATTCCTCGCTTATAGTCAGTTTCAGTTTCACCTTTTAGGAGCTGCTCCAGAGAGGACAGCGTCATTTTGAGGTAACAGATGGATTGGAGGATTTGATAGATTTAGGAGATGACACATACCTGAGTAGAACAGTATAGACATTAACTCTGCTCCCTCCCACCTCCCGCTCCTCATTCTTCAGTCCTGATTGATGCGCAGCTGGTGATCAGCCTATGCTTTATTGATTCACAACTCTGGACACCTGTTAGTTTATTGTCTTCTGATCCCAGTCTTAGGCAACCAGGGGGAGCTTTGATCCACATCTAGTATGAAATTGTGTCATTGGATTTGTGCTCATCCTATGGTCACGTTGGGCTCTGACATGTTAACATGAAACACTGCAGTTTTACGTGACAAGTCACGGTACCATTACAGTTTGACGTAACACCGTGGTTTGGATTTCGGTCTTAGAACTAAGATAGGAAAGATTTTTTACATCTCATTAGCCAAACTGAAAGCCATTAAAATGTCACACAACAAACAGTTTTGCAGCTGTCCAGTGATTTTATATGACTCTCAGTGAGGTTGTTAGTGGGGATTGTCATAGTAAAAATTACTTAAGTCTATTTACATGCTGTCTTGAACCTAAATGAATGAAAACAATTATTTAAAGGAATCAGTGTTCATATCCATATCCTGTTTGGTGCATATGGAAACAAGCATGTGCCATGTGTCTCCATGTGTCTCCATGTGAATAATTACACTGAGGCAGCTGTGCAGAAATAATTTGTTTCCACCTGATATCACCTTGCTTTTCCGCCTCCTCCCACTTACTGTCACTCTGCTTTTTACACACACACACACACACACACACACACACACACACACACACACACACATTTCTACACACTGGCATAATAACTGTAATACAATAGGATAAAAAGATGTGCAAAAAGGAGACAAATAAGGTTGACGGGAGGAAGAAGGATGTGAGTGACGATCTAAGACGAAGCAGAACAGAGAATTATGTTGTGTAACATGGTGACATAATATAGGTGGTATAAGTGTGGACTGTAGAGAGGAGGACTATACTTAATGTAAATATGAAAAGATAGAATCAAGGAAGTCTTGTATGAATGTCAGTAACAGGTGTGTGAGTGTGTGTGTGTGTGTGTGTGTGTGTGTTTGGGGAATGGAGGGGGGCTCAGTAGGGTCAATCACAGTGAAGCCAGGCACGCTTTAACAGCATAGCTTATTTTTAACTCTTTAACGAGTTGACTGTAAGCCTAGACCCAATGCTGTATGCTCCAAGCCTCTGGGCTCACTTAAACCTCCTCTCTGAGTAGTTTAAGCGCTAAAATCTGGCTTTGTGGCAGAGCTACAGCAGGATTCAGCTGAAGGTCAGTATGTGGCTGACAAAAAAAGAGTAAAGAAAGAAAGAAAAAAGTGTCTTTTGAAATTAAAAAACTGCAAGGTAAAAGTTCACATTATCTACTGAATAAAGGAATTTCAAAAATAGTTCCTTGGATTTAACCATTCAGCCACTATATATGAATTTAATTTGAGCCACAGTCCCTTTACTGTATATCCATGTCCTGTTTAAGCCTCTACTACTACACAGTCCATTCCAGTAGCAAACATAAATATACAAAACATTATTATTGTTACCATCAGAAATAAGCACAGTTTATTATTTTCTTACTAGAAATCCTGCCGCTTTTTACTAATTTAATTTTGTGCTAATTTAGTGGCCTTATTTGTAGCTGTGGGACTGATTAGTTAAAATGTGGTACCACTCTATTGATCAACTTAACGCCAAAATTTTATCCAGCCCTTCATCTGCAGACCTGGTGGATTAGTTTATTTAGCTTCATCAGCTGTTCTCTCCTCTACCTTTAGGGCTTATTTACTGAGCTGTACACACAGCATAAATAATTATGTGGAGTGAGGCGCTACATCACAGAGGAACACATATCACATGGCAGCTGAGCTGTAATGCTGTTTTGACCTGGGGTTTCCAGTAAAAATCAGCAGTCAAATGAATTACTTTAATTTGCATTTTAATTTTAGTTTCTTATTTCATACCCACCATGAGGATTAATCCAGCAATCCTAAATACCCCTCCAATCTGTAATGTGTGTATATGTTTGTGTAACTGCATATGTTTTTCAATTGCTTGTGTGTTTCCTGAGGAATCTGTATCAGTTTGACCTGCTCTGTTGACCCCTGCATAGATAACTCCGGGCAGCAAGGCAGTGGGCGGCAGCTTGGCCCAGGGCGACATCATCTCAGCCATTGACGGGGTCAGCACCGAGGGGATGACACACCTGGAGGCCCAAAACAAGATCAAGTCTGCCTCCACCAAACTGTCACTCACCATGCTGAAGTAAACAACCAGCACACAAACACTAAAACATACGTCCCCACAAACTTAGGTAGATGATGCAGAAGCTAATATTAAGGTACTGGAAATTACTTGCAGAAATAACAGGAAGAAGGGAAATCGGTGTGGACATTTTGAGAGTTTAGGAGGAAGTCAAAGCTTCAGCTGGGGAAAAAACAGTAATTTAAATGTATAACCCAATTGGCTCTCATAATATATTAATGGTTATTTTTATCTTTCTTAAATTGTTAATAAAATGTAACACATGCGATGTAACAGTATATTTAAAAGGGATGTTTCATTGCTTTAATCTTCAGATCAAGACGTCCCGCACCAGTTCCCACAGCAACTCCAAGAATGGACTCACCCATGCCAGTCATCCCCCACCAGAAGGTATGAACACACTCACAACAATAATGAAAATATAGACAAATCAAGACAAAAATACACCGGCTATTCATGTACAAACACAATATGTATATCTGCATACTTGAACATGTTTGTATGTCTGTAATACCTGTTCTGTATTCTCCTCCTGTTTGTGAGAATGTCATCTTCACTATTCTGCCAGCAGGCAGTGTCTTGCTGCCCTCTAGTGTCAAATATTCACAGTGCAACTGCAGCCTTATGCACAGGTCAGAGGTCAGCAAACTAAAAACAGCAACCAAATGAAAGGAAAATGAAGACAAAACAAGCTGATACCTTATCTCTCATTTAACTTTAAACCTTTTTCTATCTAGCTATCTTGACCTCCTCTCGTCTTTCTAAGGAGTTAGAAAAACCGAAAGAGGAAGTTGGGCCTAAACATTTTGGTGAAGATGTTCAATTGGAGCAGCCACTGTTCTATGAAATGTTCCAGGATCAAAACCCAAAAGCCAAAAGGAATCTCTTTCAAGTCCCTAAAAAAGATCCAGAGCTCCTCTCGACCCCAGGCAAAGCTCCTGCCTCCTCCACACCATCTGCCGCATCTTCACCAGGAAAGCTGGGGCAGTACAATTCTCCAATAGGCCTTTACTCTCCTGAAACTCTCAGAGAAATTATGCTGATGCAGGGCAAGTTTGGAGAGGGGTCAGCTTCTCGGAGAGTTCCATCTTTGGGGTAGGTTACCACAACAATACATAACTTTCAATCACTGAGAGAAGAAGATTTGTCTCCTTCAGGGATAACCCAAAGACACAACCAAGCTGACTAAACAAAACTGCTTTTCACTCTGGTTAATGAAGCACATCACACCTTCCCCATGTAACCTCACATTAACAGGGCCATGGTGAGGAAATATACTCAGAACTTTCCCAATATTCGTTCCCCTGACAAGTGGTACTAGCGTACACGCTAACATACCTGGCCGGACTCCGGGTAACAGAATAGCGGGAGATCAGACTACAGTTCATCTGAGGATCTTTATAACAGGCAGATCTGAGAGGCTTTACTAAAGGTCGAGTGGCCTCAACGCCACATTCAAATGTCTAAGATGCCATCCAAAAGATAATTCAAAATAAAACAAGATTCAAGTGGACCGTGGTTAGAGGAGGATATGAATGAGCTGTTGGTTTCTTCAGACCTTGTGAATGGTACAGACTCATTTACTGTGAAATAAAAATGAAACCAGGGAGATGATGTTGCAGAAAGGAAATCTTTTTGCTGTTTCGGCTCCCTGATATCACTCTTTGAAGCTTTTTATCTTCAGGCTGTTGCTAATGCAAAGCCCAGAAGAGAGTTTTAAATCCTGCTTGTAAAGCTTTTTTTGTAGTTTTTAAATTGTTGGTGAGGTTACAGGAAGGTGAAGATTTGTTTCTACGGAAGAGTCGCCATGAGGCAAAAGCAAACTGGTAGATACTTAAAAGCCCTCAGTCAGATTTTTTTCTCTAGGTTTCTTTGTTGTTGTTGTTTTTACTTAAATATTGTAAGGATATTCTGCAAACAACAGTTTCTTTTTTTCCTGCAAATAGTAAAAATGCTCATTACTAGTTCCAAAAGCCCAAACTGACACCTTCAGATATTTGTATAGCACCTTTCTAGTCTTTTCAACCACTCAAAGCGCTTTTACACTACATTCACCATTCACACACTGAGCCTAAGTGCTCAAACAGAAACTAACATTCACACAATGGCAGAACAATTCAAGGTTCAGTACCTTGCCCAAGGACACGTCAACATGCAGCCTGGGGGAGCCAGGGATTGAACCACCAATCTTGCAATTAACAGCCAACCAGCTTTACCTCCTGAGCCACAGCCGACCAACTGTACAAAGTCCATTGAGATTAAATTTACTATCATAGAATACTAAGAATTGCACAAAATATTTCCAGTTAAAAAGCTGGTACCAGTGAATATTTGCTTAAAAGATTACTTAACGCTTATCACTTCAGCTGCATAAGGTTGTCTTATTAAAAGTATTCAGATACCAAACTTTCTTTTGGTATTTTTGGACATTTGGCTATTTATAGGCTATCACACATTTAAAAAATAATACTTTTGTTGTAACATATGGGGGTGCTAGAAAAGTGCCGATTTGCAAAGAACTGCATAATCTAATGCCAATAACACACTGAAGCATCATACAGACCTTCCCTACCCTGTCTGTGACACCAGGCCCATGTTCCTACCAAATACCTAAATCTTACATTTTTAAAAAAGGTTTAGTAATTATCTAAAACAACTGGGGCACTGTAATTTTTGGTGAGCATTACTCAAAGAGAGGAAAGTAGCTTATTCGTTGGGGACTATTTTCTGTCGCGGATTAATACAGTTTGGGTGCTGTGGTGAGTATTTACAGCAGCAGGGAAGCAGGTGTATGTGGGATGGACTCAAAATAAATTACTGTGCCGAAGGAACGATTCACTCTGGAGGAGTAAATGCTACCAGGCTTTGGTTACACGGTACTTGTTAGTTGGATCAATTCATTGTCATTACTCCACACTACACACTATCACTACATGACAAAATTTCAATATCTGATGTTTTGCATTTTCACTTTCCATCAACAGGCTTTATTGAAGTTTTATTTTTGATGTACAAATTGGGGCTCATGAAAAGGCTTGTGTCATCTTTTCTGGTAGGGCTAAATCAGTAATGCCTTCATCCTGACTAAATTGCATGTTATAATGACAGGAGTTTGGTGGGAGTTAAGTTGTGGCCACCTTTGAGTGAACTCTTCCCAATTGTATGGCATGAATTTGGGTGAAGCCTCAGTCATGGAGTACTGATGTAGATGTTAATTTAGTACGCAATCTGCTTGGCCTGACATATCATATCCAGGTGTCAGTCTTCCCTAATGTGTTTCCCCTCTGGAGCTAAGCTGCTTTACAGGAAAGGCCAACGGTAAGTCAGGTGTCAGGAAACGTGCTCCAGGCACATCGCAGGACGATGACGGCAATATCATGCCAGCGGCCCCACCTCACCGAGTACTTGGAGACTGTGATTCCACTGGCTCACACACACACACACACACACAGGAGAGAGCAGCTGTTGTACATGGTCATGGAATGTTCCGCTCTGGTTACACACCATCATCCTGAATCCCCTGGATGCCTCCTTGCCAAACCTGAGATAGCCCCCCTCTCTCTCTGTAGGGAGATGTCTCACGTGTGAGTTGCTGCAGAGCACGTTCCACTTCACCTACTGTACCCTGAACACATCCATGTACTGTATAGACAAATCCGCAAGCTGATTTATGTGTTGTGCTCGAGTGCCACCACCTTTACTGCAGTGGCTGAGTGGAACTAAACACATTTACACCAACAGTGAAAGCAGAGTTTGGGTTAATCACGATTTGCATTCGTCCATGACGTCATGACACATGACACATGACAGTAGTTTGTGTACATGTGGAAGTTATTAAGTCTTGAAGCCCTAGTTTGATACAGCTTTTGGAAATGAAATATTAATGTCTTTCTGACCTCCACAGTCTGAATGGGAAAGTGGTGTGTACTCGAGTAGCTAATTAAACCAGGCAGGAATTACTTGCTACCTTTAGATCACCAAAGTCCATGACTTCTTGCATAGTAATCAGAGGAAATGCATAATTTAGTAAAACAGCCCAGAAAATATGTCTCATTGTCTGTTTAAACTGGACTAAATTTAGTTGAAAAGTTTAAGATTTGCAGATTGTAACCCTTATTTTTGGTGGCGTTTGATTACCATATAACTACGGTTCTATAGGATCTACTGGACAGATTAAAAAGTGAAATCCTTGACGTACATTATAGTGTTAATGGCAGCTTGTCTACTACTCTAAATGTAACAGCTACAGTTCTAGTGGATCAGGTGGTGTGTGTTGTGTTTGTGTGGTTGTGTATATTTGTGGCACCGTTCTGTGCTAAATGTGTCTCTGCAACCCCACCTTGTGTCATGTGATTGAGACACTTCTGCTCTTGTCAGTCACTCCTGATGATGCAGGGGAAGCTGGGAAATATCCCAGTGATGACAAACAGATGCTATTCTGACCTGTACATGAGATTACAGCGCTGGGGTTGGATAGTTTCCTACAAACACACACAGTGCCATTGTTATCGCCAAAATGCCTCTAGTGATTAATCACATACTTTCCTTCTCTTCTCTTTCTGTCCCTCTCTGGTGTGTTTCAGGTTATCGCAAACACAGCTGCAAAGTCAGTACCGTCACATTTCTCTGTATTTAATGTGCATGAAGTCCACGTCAGTAGATAGAGTATTCGTTTTTAGAGCTCTGACAGTGTTGCCTTTGGTGTGAGGTGAAGTTATGCCCCACATGGATTCATGTGTGTGAAGTTGAACTAAAGCTTCAACGTATATTGAGTGTGCTGTTTCTGTAGGTAACTGCAACAAGACCTTACAGGCTGAAAATTCAAGACATGGTATTAACAGCATCTGGTCCACAGAAGTGGAAAGTAAGAAAGTACATCTCTTCAAGTACTGTACTTCAGTACAGTTTTATGAGACTCTCTACTTTTTCCTTCATTTAATTTACATTTATTTGGTAATACTGGTTATTTTATAGATAAAGTTTACAGTATATGCAGTATTTTTCATTCTTGAGTCTATTTTAATGTTAATACTTCTTTACTTTTTAAGTAAAAATTGGTACGCTGAACTCATTCTGTACTACCACATCTACCTATGTTTCCACCTCTGCTGGTCCTCCTCAGTGTGTGTCATTTGAAATTTGCAGGTTAAAATCTATCACTATGGCCTGGTGGTTGTTTTAAACATTAGCATGTTTGTTGGTCTTTGGACTGGTATGTCAGCTTTAATCTCTTAAGTAAAAGCTTGTATTTTGTCATTAAGCTTGACATTCAGCTCTAAGTCATGATGAACAAAGCCTCAGATTTTCAGTCGACATGCTGTGTCCCAATACCATATGTAATACTAATCTAATAAAGTATACACTGTGTACTATGCATATTATACTGGTTTAGCAGTTGGTGTACAAGACACTGATGTACATTATTTCACCATTCCAAGAAAAGATACAAGATGTCAGTCAAACTTTGGCCAGTTACCTTTCCAATCAAATCAACAATGGCTTGTTGGAGAGTGGTATAGGAGAGCATTGCTGTCTTGTCTTACTACCACTGGAGGGCGCCTAAAAATATATGCATAGTGACTTTAAAGTGAAACAGATGTTATAGTGTCTTTATCATCCGTAAAGTGACGTATTTACAAGTGAAATTAAAACTAAAACTAAAAATGTGGGCAAATTAGATCTCGTCCACATTCTTTGGAAGTTTTTTGGCAACTGATATCCAAACCATAGACTGTATAAAAGATAGGGACGTGGTCATCTTGACTTCACCCGTTGATTTCTGGACTGTCGTTTTGAAGCCTCGAGTTTGGCTGCTATGGTGCCGCCATGTTGATTTTTTGCCACCAGGAAGTGTCCAGACGTGACTATATTTGGACGAGACGGTGGCGCTAATGGCCGGGTGTGGAGCTAGCTAGCTTGCTTAGCTAGGTGCATTTTTAATTCACGTTAACTGTCATTTTAACAGGGCTGACAATTCTGTCTAGCAAACAACAATCTTAAAACTAAATGTACTCACCAGAGAAAGTGAACAGTCAACTCCTAAGCTTTTTCAACAACACTGGTTAAATTAAGAGTATGAGTCACTTTAACCTGACGGAGTGACTCATAAAAATAAATCAGCTTAGAATAGGGTCATTTTAACATTATTTTAAATGGAACTGGACTACTTTTTGCAACCAGAAGAGTCGCCCCCTACTGGCCGTTCAATAGAATGCAGGCTTAAGGAACTTCCGCGTGGCTTCGCGTTTCAAACCAGAAGCTTTCAGCTTGATCCAAATACACACCTCATACTATATTTATAGTTTTGCTCATGTGGCAGGAGTTGGCAAGTCGCAAGTTTTTCTTGACGTAGGCTATTTTGCATATAAAAAGAGACAACTGAACCATTTACACAGGGACACAGAATTAGAACTTGGAAATTAAATGTTTTATTTCACAGTGTATTTATTAAGAAGAAAGCTAATATTTTTGTTGAAAATTAGATATAACAAATTAGATTAATTATTATTAAAAATTGTCATTATTGCTGTTTTTTTTAAATTAATTGATATTCATCTGCTTCATTCTGAATATGCTAATTTAGTTTATGTACTGACATGTGTGAAAACCCTACATCCTCTAAAAATGCTTATAATTAGTATGTAGTATGGAACTGGGACACAGTATGGTGTGTGGTGTATTTGGTCTGTGTAGTTGAGTGTACGTACATGGGGTCTCTCCAAAAACTAATACTGAGCGGTACAACAGCCCTACTTGTCTGCCAGTTGTGTTACTACATGTTTCCTCCCTTCACTTTGTGTTTTCTCTATGATTTCTTTCCTCTCGAATTGCCCTCTCCACCACCTCACCTGTTAACCTCTCAACTTCACCCCTGCACCTGAAACCTACCAACCTCCTCTTCGACCCACTGATACTGACAGTGTGGAGTACACTCCCAGCTTCAACCCCATAGCTCTGAAAGACTCAGCCCTGTCTACCCACAAGCCCATTGAGGTGAAGGGTCCGGGGGGAAAGGCAACCATTGTTCACGCCCAGTACAACACACCAATCAGCATGTACTCACAGGATGCCATCATGGATGCCATTGCAGGACAGTCGCAGGCCAAGGGACATGACAGGTGAGGTCACACAACCAGACTAACCCCCTCTCCAGTCTTTTATGCGCTCTCTCCACTCACGCACCAGACATCACATCACACTGATCAAACCAGCCCGTGTGTTGAGAAATTAAAGGTCGGTTCACTGAAATTAGAGCAAAACATACCTTCTCACTTACTGCTAATGGTATCTACTACAGACAGTTGTGGTTTTATTTGCCCAAGGTTTTGAGATATCTTAGATTTCTACCTCTACCGCCAGTATAATGGAGGATTTTTCTTTCTGCTACTCGCTGTATTAAAGAGGTCATAGTATGCTCAAATTCAGGTTCATAATTATATTTAGGAGTTGTACCAAAATAGGTTTACATGGTTTTATTTAAAAAAAAGCACAATATTTTTGTCATACATTGCTAAAAGCACCTCTTTTCACCCTGTGGGTTGTACGCATCTCACTTCTCTTTGATCTTTGTTGGGAACTATGTAAGGCCTACTAGCCAATCAGAAGCAAAGTGGAGCGGGTCCTGAAAAGCAAGGTAGTGTGATCCAAAACAAAGCCGTTTCAGCTGGTTACTGTGGCTTCTGTTTAGCAGTACAAGATCCCGAAACACCGCCACTAGGATGGCATTATGATGCATGTTACATAGTGATGCAGATAGATTACGAAAGTTAAGACTGGACTACATTCGAGCTGTTTCCAGGCAGTTCAGGAGCAGTGTTTTCTGTGGGAAAACTCCCTTTGGGGCGGACTATAGGCTTTTTCACTTTGTTAAACTATGACATACACAAAAACAATATGTTACACAATAAAGGAAAGGAGGAAAGCAAAAAGCATAATATGACATCTTTGAACATTGCAACTGCGATGGACTGGCGACCTGTCCAGGGTGTACCCCACCTTGCACCCGATGTCAGCTGGGATTGGCTCCAGCCCCCCCACGACCCTGTATGCAGGATAAGCGGTTAACGATGGATGGATGGATGGATGAACATTGCAACTCCATTGTATTGGGGTGGAGGCAGAAAAAAAAAGCAACAGATACCTCATTAGCTAACTGTCTGCATGGCTAGATACCAGTAAGTGGTAAGTGAGAAATTTTTTTGGGGGGGGGGGGTAATTTGGATTGACAAAAAAAAAGATACGTTTTGCTGAAAAGCCCAAACACAAAAAGAAGCATTTGAACACATATATTCAAACGCTAAGCCTACGTTGCTACAACGCGAATATCTACTTTAGTGGATACCCGGGCTTTTCCATGTTGTCTGTGTCCGTGGCCACAAACTCCTCTGTGCCTTTCACCCACTCTTCCTCTCCTCATTCCATCCACAAACAAACAACCAACCACACCTGTGCTGTCCTCCACCCATCCTTCCCCATCCTTCCTTCCTGGTTGTGACCTCAGTGAGGAGGCGGGCTCCCCCTTGGCGTAAGTACAGAAGCGCTCCTTTTCCATCCCCGCCTCTCCTCATACACGTGTCTCCTTTGTCTCTTGATTTCATGACAGCTTGTGCATTGCTGCGCGTGTCTCATAAACTAATATCCCACTGAAAGTATTTGGGAATCCTACAGCATTTATTTTTGTCTATTTTGTTGTGGGGTTTTTTATGTGTTTCTGAGGTGTTGTATGTCAAACCAAGGTGTTTGATGGACAAACTCACTAACCACAAGGCCATCATGGACTCGGTTAGGCGTGTGGAAGTACTTCGAAGTACTTTGGCCAAAGTGTGAGAGTGTTTTTTTGGAGCCTCGGGAACCTGATGGGATGTTGTGGCATGGGAATGTTCTGAGTATCCAATCACAAGTTTAAAACAAATATTGCCCGATCAATACTGACTCACTTTTCTAACAGTTCACTATCCAGTCATGTTGCTGTGTAAACTCATTCCAATATCTACTGTACAGTACAGTACAGGCACTTTCAACGTGGAACTTTTGGACTACACAAAGACATTGTATGTGAACAATGAACAAGCAGACTGTGTGTAAAATGCAGTAACTGATTTTAATGTAATCATTGCCCATAATGAAATAAATTCAACAAAGCTTGTAATGACAAAAAAAAGAAACATTTTTAAATTTTAAGTTGGGCACAGGCAACTTTTTCCAGAAAAAATGCCTAAAATAACAAACCCAAAATTTAAATCAGTAATATCTCCTCAAACATTTGGCCTAGATGCATAATTCTGGTCTCCTTTGAAAGTCGGAAGCTAAGGAATATAAGTCCATTGTATATTAATATATTTATTTACTACATGGAGATCCAATAAAGAGAAAACATGATATTTTCATCCTCGCCTGGTAAAAAAGCTATATTTTAATGCAATAAACCATCAAAACCATCATAATGAAGCTTATAATGCAACTGAATATCTTCTAATACATCTAGAATGCAACTGTAACTGTAAATCTGATGAAAATAAACTAAAACACAACAGTTATCATACAACATTTTCAAAATATACCAGGCGAATGTCCATATTTTGGCAATATTTACCGTTAAAATGTTGATTATTATATTGATATTATTGATATTGGTGATATCTTTAAAACACTTTTTCTGTCCATACAACCAAGTTCCAAATGATAAAACACTGAAATATTGAAAAAAACAGTGAATATTCATCAACGTTCTTGTCACCAAAAGCACACCCATGCTTTACAGGCCTGTAGATGGAACAGTGATGGGTACCGGGGGCATCTGTTTTGTATTTTACGAAGCATAAAATACACATGGACCCCACTAGCAAATACAAGATGTATTAATTTTATTACTGTTTCATAAATCTATGCCCAGCCCACATGGGATTGTAAAAGTGGTGGAATATTCAGGGTCAGACTAGTAGCATACCAAAGTAAAAGTGCTAATTATGCAGAATAATAAATATTATATTATTGGATTATAATTATTGACATATTAAAATGTGTCATCCCTAATGTTGAGGTGAAGTGAATTTGAACTCCTTTAGTGTGAGGTAGCTAAATCTTTATTACTACATCATAATTTCTTTGTTGTTTAATGTTATTAATGTTTTCTAGTGGTTATTGTTGTCGTCTCTAACCTTTTTTATTGTGCTGTCTTAGGCAAATGTCTACTTGTAAGCTGGTCTTACCTGGTTAAATATGGGTTAAATAAAAAAAATAATAATAATTATGAATCTGTAAAAAGTAAAAAGTAACAATTGCTGTCAAATACATGTAGTGTAGTGAAGACTGCAATATTTCCCTCTGACATGTATTGTAGAATTATAAAATAGCATACAATAGAAATGCAAAGGAAAGTACCTCAAAATGGTAGGCTACTTTAGTACAGTACTTGATTAAATGTATTTAGTTACATTCCACTAACAATGCTTACAAGACACCACATAAACCAGATCAGAGTTTAGTGCAATGTCAAACAATACTACAAGCATGTAAAGTAAAGACGAATGAAACAGTTCATCTTGCCATTTTTTCCAGGCCTTTGAACAAAGTTGGCTAAATTAAACACAATTAAAAAGTCAAAGTTTGGATCATTTGTATACCAGAATATTAGTGATGAACCCTGTCCTCTCTGCCCTCTACAGTACCTACAGGCCAGGGGATAGTTTCATTTTGACTTGACTGTGTGGAGGAAAATGATAAATTCAAACTTTTACACATTTTAACAATATTTTACAATTCTGCAGTGAAATTTAATCATAATAAATCATAATTTCCCTGTGAATTAGTATGAGGTAAATAGAAATTTTCGGATTCCCCCATTAGGGGTAGAACAAATTGTATAAAATATTATAGTAATATAATCTATTCAGTTGAAAATGATACAACATCATGGGCATTTAGTACATTATGATTATCTACTACATTTGGGGGCTTTACACTTAGAGCTCTAACAGTATTCTCTGATCTGCAGTGGAGCTCTGCCTGTTAAGGACCCTGTGGTAGACTGTGCATCTCCGGTTTACCAGGCAGTGATCAGACCAGGAGAGACAAACCAGGACATGTCTGAATGGGCTCGTCGTGCTGCCAACCTGCAGTCCAAGAGCTTCAGGATCCTGGCCCACATCACTGGCACTGAATACCGTCAGTACACTGACTCCTGCTTTTCCTTCTATCTTAACTTGTTTTGTCCATTTCAACCTTCTCAGTTCAGTTATCTTCTCATTAGTGAATCCTCACCAAATTCTCTCGTTTATTTCCCTCCATGCAGTGCAAGATCCAGATGAGGAAGCTCTGCAGAAGTCGAGGTAAGATGGGGAGAAGTCAGCGGACTTTAAAGGGTATTTGTACATTAGTTCAATACTTCAAAATGTACCTGGCTGCTCAACTGGCATTCCATCAACTGACACAAAATTTGCCAAAAAAGCAAAACTATTTCAGGGAATTGTTCACAATTTGGAAATTATCCTTAATTGCTTACTTGCCAAGAGTTAGATAAAAAGATTGAGACTATTTTCACAACTGGAGAGCCAAGAGACAGTTAGCTTAGCTTAGCATCGAGCCTTGAAACAGGGGGATACAGCTAGCCTGGCTCTGTCCAAATGTATACAACTAAAAACTACAAGCACAAATTAAAACATTATATCTCGTTTATTTAATTTAAAGTTAAAAACAATATGCCACGCAGCCAGTGGAGACTCCAGAAAGTAAGTGATCACTGCTAAGAAATAGCACAACATGTCATTTTTGCTCATTGTTTTTTGTAAGAGATATAGGCTACTGTTTTTATTAGGGAGCTAAAGAGGTGATGGTAGGATAGATGGATTTTGCTACCTTGGAAGAGATCCAGGCTAGCTGGTTTCCCATTACCAGTCTTCAATCAATCCTCTCATGTAACTTAATGTTGAACTTTAACATTGTGAGCAAAAGTGTCAGTATTACCTGATGTAACAGCCTTGTCCTGCCTTCCACACCATCAGAGAGAGGTTTGAGTCGGAGGTGAAAGGGCCCCGCTTTGCCAAGCTGAAGAACTGGCACCACGGACTGTCTGCACAGATCCTCAATGTCCAGGAATAAAGAGAAGCAGGAGAGAAAGCGAGAGAGAGGACATGTAAAGGAGGACATGGACAAAAGCACAGGAGTTAAAAGGAAGAGGGATAAATTATGGAGGGGAAAAGGAAAAAGAGCAGGAGGAGGCGGAAACTCCTCAGGAATGCGAGATAGTGTTGTAGGCTAGATAAGCAGAATGTGAGATACTAACTGTTAGTGTGAGAATGCAATGTGTTCATAAGCTCAATATTACCTGTCAAGTGTATCTGTCCGCTGCTAAGACCTGATCTCGCATTTGGGTTTTTTCTTTCTTTCTTTTTTTCCTGTTTATTTGGGTTTTAAATGAAAGGGAAATTGTACAAAAAAGTATTCAAGTGAAAATGCAGAGCTGATGATGTTTCTTGTAGTACATTAACCACATTCACAAAAGTATGAATTTTAACACTAAAAAAACATGCTTGCGAGAAAGACAAACACACACACACATAGAGATTTACCTACATGCACAAATGCAATATGTAAAAAAATGCACTCAAAAATGTACTGATTTCAATGTGAATAAATGTTTTATTAAAACCATATGGCTGAGTGAACTGTTGTAAACTCATAAATTAAATGAACGTGTCACTCTCTATTTTGTGAATCAAAAACTGGAGGCATGAGCAGTGCCACGATTGATAGGGACATTCTTCAATCATCCTGTCCTGTCATTTCTAGTGCCGTTGGTATGGCAGAGGGGGGTGTTTTGACTTTGCAGAGAAAAGCATCATTCAGAAAGAGCATCTAATACATTCTGACAGAAAAATCTGACTGTTTATTAGCTGGTGGCGACATGGACAATGACACAACTATGGGAGCGGTGCTGGCAAACCTGAGAGCTGTATATTACTGCTACTGTTTTCGCAAAGTTTGTTTTTGTTTAACATGACATAAAAGAAAGACCTTTGATGATGAAGCAGATGCTAAGGAAGATTTGGTGCCATTCAAAAATACCAATGGATACTCCCAAGGTCTAAACTGTCATGAGTAAGAACTAATCAATTTGAGGTAAAGTGATCAGAGCTGCAGACTTGAGGCTTGGACTTGAGGTTTTTGTGGACATCTGGGGCGAGTGGGAAAAGATTTAAACACAACATTGACATATTAGCTTATAAAATATATGCATGTTAGCAAAGTATCTACACATCCAGTAGACACAGAGCAACAGCATTCAGTTGGAGTTGTGTTTCTGGCCATGAAACAAATGACCAGTATTCACGCTCCTTTCAGCTCTGTTTTGGTCTCCATCAATTCCTGAGAATAATATCTCTTTAGCCAGGTATTTCTGTTCAACGGTTACTTTGAAGTAGGCCTAAGCTATTTGCTAATTTTATCTGTCTTTTGTTTGGTGCTGGGCAGAAAACCAAAACAGAGTGGAAACTCTCAAAAAAGCTCTGTAGAGCTGAGGGAAACTGCACAGTTTGGTTATAATTCATTATGGGTTCATCGCTACGAGCAACCTCTGTCACATTACACATAATTATTTGGCCTTCTGTTAATATAAAAATACTGATTAGGGCAGCTTTAAGTCACAAAAATGAATGAAAAACTTCCTTGATATGCCCTACAGACTTGGCCTAAGATTTCAAGCACTAAAAGAACTACTAACATAGCTTTAAAGTGTTCAGCATTGTGTAATTTTAATGGTCAGCATTCAAAAACCTAAAGGACACTTTACATGCAATTTGCTTGTGAAGACTTCACTTGGAAAATACTGCAGCTCTGCAAATGATGATTTTACAGATTATAATATGTCCATGAAATGCTTGAACAATTATTTATATATCTAAAGAGAACCATCAGTCAGCCCTAATGCTGTGTCATGATGTCTTATGTGTTAAAGCCACAAGAGGGCGGTGGGATTCTGTACAGCCAGACTGAAAAGAAAAGACCTCTTCCTCTCTGCAACAGGAAAACAGCACTGTTCCAAATATATTTACTTCTTTACCTTTATTTTATCAGGTGTGTGGACCTGATAAAATAAATATATATATGCAAAAAAATATACAGTTGCAGCAGCCTATTTTAATTTGTGTTTGCAATAATTTCTCTCTGCTTGTCTCCTTAATGATTAAAACATTTAATAAAAATTGTGGAAACTGAGCTGCTGTCATATCATATCAATCCACAGAATTGCTGTGCTGCTGAGTCGGCATGTCTGGATAAAATGGGACGATGGGAAGAAGGAGGGAGGGGGGAAGGTGGCAGTTGTGACTCCTTCAGGTGGAGATGACAAAGCATTTTCTCTCTTCTCAAAACAATAAAAATGCCTGCAGGTGCTCTCTTTTCAGCACTAAAGTCAATTTAATTGATTTCAGTGAGGCATTGCTGGTGTGACATATTGGTCAAAAAGCATAATACATAAACAGAGTGATACACACAATATATACATACAGTACATAAACAAGTGGTTCAAAAATCATTTCTTTGGGACAAGCTGTGTGATGTGATTACATGACAAAATCCCACAAGGCATATGATGTGAAAATAGAAATCCTCTTCGCTTCCAGTGCTGAACCTCTGCTGTTTATGTAACAGTGCTCACAAGCTCAGCATGTAGAAGGTGTGTCTAGAGCAACGTGCCAATCAAAATATGCAAACAGCAAGCTGGAGGCTGAGCAGAGCACGAGTGACAATCATCAGGAGAAAGATGGATGACGGGTGGAGGTGTGGTTGCAGCATGACTTGAAAATGCTGCAGCATCCGGTCGTCTCTCCTCCTCCTCCTCCTCCTCTTCTCTCCATCTCGTGCATACCGGCTGTTTCCTCCCCCTTCTTCCTCTCAGTCTCCGTGCTGTAGCCTTGCTGTGCGGTCGTCTGAGCACTCTGTTGTAGCACCAAAGGGAGGAGGAGCCAACGGCGCACACACACACACACACACACACACACACACGCAAACTCACATAGACACACACACTCTGACATCTCACATCATCTCTTCTGCACGCTCACTGTAAGCACCAGACAGCAAGTCTACCAGCCAGCCAGCCAGCCAGGCCCGTTTGGAGCAGGGGAGCCCAGCCGTCTCGTCGCCCAAGATGGATGCATTGATGAAAGGGTTCTCAATGGCCAAGGAGGGAGTGGTGGCCGCCGCAGAGAAAACCAAAGCTGGAATGGAGGAGGCAGCAGCCAAGACCAAGGAAGGGGTGATGTATGTAGGTACGTAACACATCATGTCTGAGGTGCACTGAGTTGCAGACAAAAAGGAAAGTTGGTCAATTTGTGAAAGATGCACTTGTTTTTTTTTGTGTGTATGTGTGTGTGTGTATGTGGTTGCATCATGCACTTTTGCACCGATTGAGGTGGGGTCCCATGGGTGTCCATGTCTGGGACACTTGTGAGAAGTGACAGGAAGAGAGGGAGTGGGAGGAGAAGGAAGAGGAAGAAGAAATTAAAGAGGCAAGATACTGCTGCAGGAATGGTGCAGGGCAGAGGGTGGGGGTCTGAATGAATGAAGGATAGACAGAGTGAGGAGGGCGGGTTAGATGAAGAAAGAGATGAAAAAAGTTGCATTTGGGTAGCAGGGCAGTAACAGATAGAGGACTGGTTGGGAAAAAAAGAATAAAAGACAAAGAGGAGAAGAGAGGCGGAAAGAAGGGTTCTGGAGGATCTTCCTTTTCATCATCTGTCCTATTTTATTCACATTCAGTGGTGTGTGGAAGTGTTTGCAGAGATTAAGTCCCCAGAGATTCTGTTTAGCTGCCATTATTAATTTACAGAAGAGAGCTGACCTACATTGAATAGGCTGCCTTACATTTTTTGAGGTAAATTCACAGGCATTTTAAGATAAATGCATACATTTACAATGAAGCTGTGAGTATTCAGGGACAGACCATTTTAAATAGCAAAAAAAATGCTTCAGATGCTTTACGGTTTTATATTAGCTCAAGCAGCTAATGCGTCACATCTCAAGGTTACCCCGAGTACCAGGCTTTTAGGCCGCCTGAGAGGGGCGGAGTGTAAAAGAAGGAGGGTGGGTGAGGAGTTAGCGGAGTGGAAGTCTTAGTCGTTGTCTGCGGTCCATCTCTTCAGTCTGACTGACTGTCACACAGCTGCTTCAAAATCTTAATCATGATGTTAAAAATGAAAAGACAAATGTAACGATATGTGTGCAAAAGTCAATGTCACAAGCTGAAAGAGTGGGGAGGGAGGTGAGACAGATGGGGCTAGGATCTCTTGAGCACTGCAGCAATTGGCTCTCCCATCAACCCCCACCCACCCTCACCCCAACCTTGTGTTGATGCAACAATGTGTGTGCGTTTGTGGCGTAGCAGCAGGATTTGACTGCCAGTGTGTTCTGCTTTGATGACTAACCACCTTCCTCCCCCACAGCTCTTAAAAAAAACATCACCCATACCAGGGAAAGATGGAGAGATGCACAGGGAGAGACAGAGAGAGAAAAGAGGGAGAGAGAGGGGAGGGGTGTGTCAAAAAAAGCTTTGAGCTCCTAGTCCCATTGCTCCTGTATGAACAGATGGAGGGACAGAAAGAAAGAGAGGGATGAGACTCAGGTGAGGGGGGGAGGTAAAAGTGACAGAGAGACAGAGAGGAAGGTAAGAGGGGAAAAAGAAAATGGACATGCAAATCACGGGAGGTGGAACAGAAGAGTGATCGCTGAAGCAAAAAGGGTCGATGGCTCAGATAAACCACTGTATCTGCCTGCAGCAGAGTGCATATGTCTGCATGTGAATGTGGGTACACAGTATCGAGGTCTACACGCCTGCTTTCACAAACAGGCCAAACCTGGATAGACAGTGTGACATGCTCTGTGATTAAAATAGAAAATCCCACGAGTCACTGAACACAAGCTGCCACAAAATTACAACAACAGTTAGTTTTTATGCTCTTGTTTTATGTTCTCTTTTATTAAGGAATTTAGTTTGATGTTGTTTTTATGTCTTTTTATATTAACGGTTTTTATTTACTACATTCTTGTAATCAGTGTTGGTTGATTGAGATGGGAGCAGTTTAATTTCCATGTTTTTATGAATGAATAATACCTATGGTTCTAGGTGCTGATTTTCTGCATTGATATAAAAAATATGGCTTTAGGTAGTTTTTCCAGAACTAGTATTTGTGCTTTAGCAGTCCTGCTGCTTCAAAAGATCTTACTAATTTATGTAGCTTTGTATAAGTGTATAAGCTTGTGAATGTCTCACTGCATATGTTATATCTTTAATGATGCAGCAAGCACATAAATAATACCACCATTGATAGGATTTTTCATTAAATACAGGACATATCTGAGTTTTTATCTCAGTACTGCTATAGCACAAACCTTCCTTTGGAAAAACCGACTGAAGCCACATTTGTGCACATTTAAGATATTAATTCGCAATAGCAAAAAGCATTCACACACTCTAATCCGTGCAATCTTCATTTATTGAGGCAAGCTTTTGATCGGGATTATCATTTATTATCAGGATTATCTAAAAAATGGCTTTCTTGTTCTAGTTGTATGCTCAGGGGTGTCATATGCTCAATAATTTACATCTAAAAGGAAATCAAATGTTCCTTCAGAAGTTAACACATACAGTTACAGGAACAGTTTGTTCTGTATGATAGATTACCAAAGATATTTACAATGACACTCGGAGGGCTCCCTCTGTTGACTGGGAGAAAGAAGCTGTGTCATTGCAGTGTGTGTGTGTGTGTGTTTGTGTGAGTGTTGAACTGTACTGCAGTACTGCTCAGTACTCAGGCACGTGGCTCATGTAGCACAGGCAGCGTGCAGGAAGATAGAGAAAAGCAGGAGCCGGAGAGAGGACTGTTGGATGCAAGATAGTAGCATCTATGTAAATGTACAAAGAGGGAACAGTCATTTTGCACAAACTGGTGTTATTCTGCAAATGTTTCCTCCCTTTCCTTCTTTAGTTACCTTCCTCCCATTATTCCCTTCCATCTCTTAGAGCAGATATTTCTCTTCTTGTATCCCTCAATCTGGCAGATTATATAACCACAATTTAATCTGCTTGGGATCACTCAGTAATGAGCACAGTGCTGGTAAGCAGGGAGGGAAATACAGAGAGGTGCTGCTGTTCACACGATGTTTTCAATAAATGCGCTTCCATAAAACACAACTGAGCTTTATAGAGCTCTTGAACACAGAGTTCTCAAGGTTGAAAAGAAAAAAAAGCAGAAAAATTAAACAATCCAAGCAGACAAAAAAAGGACATAGTCACCTTTAAAAAAGAAGGTAAACACATCAGTCACACCGTAAGGACAAGGTAGAAGAAGGTCTGTATTTTTAGAAAGGGGAATCGATACTGCTGACCTGACACTCTCATGAAGGATATGTTAGAGTCATGGTGGGATACAGAAGCTAAGAAATGTTTCCAAAAGGACGGATGAATATGTTCTATTATTCAAACCTCTATGATGTTTCTCTGATTTTGTGGCAATTAAAATGTGAAACATGTAAATCTGAAAATGTGTTTATCAAAGTACGTAAAAAAAACTTAAACAAAACCAAAACCATAAGCAACATTACATTATTAGACTGATGCAATAACTGATCTAATGATCTAATGATGTTCAGCATTACTATTATAACAAGTTTATTCTCTTCGCATTACTACATCAGGAAATAATACATTTATTTCATCATCAGTTGGGTGTAAGGGCCATGGTTTGACTTATTGATGAAATTCAAGCTCACATCCTAATCACCCCGCACTGATTAAAAGACAAAAAATAAATACTCTCAAAATATAAAATAAATCAAGAAAAATGTAAATCAAACCCCCAAATGTGTCTATTTGTAATTTGAAAATGTGATATTTTTCTACTAAAGTAAGAAACATGAGTTACATATGATCTTGATTTTAATCTCTCTTTGATCCTCAGGCAGTAAGACAAAGGAGGGAGTTGTGTCATCAGTAAACACAGGTAAGAAAAACTTACAGGTAAAATATCCAAGCCCCATTTGTGACTTTGGTGCTTCAGTCACATAAAGTTTTATCTGGTAGTGGTTTGGATCTTCAGATGTATTTTCATGATCTCACAGGTGTTGTCTGTTAGCCCAGGATGATATTTGGTTAAGTTCTATAACCATGGATTAGAAGGCTGCTATTTGACCTGGGGCAGTTAACTAGCTGTACTTTTGCCAAAGCAAACAGTTAGTCCTTTTCTCTTGTAAAACTAAAAAACACATTTTAAAGCAACAATCTCACCTTTCTTTTCGTTTTTCGTTTTCTTCCGAGAGTAGAATTGTTTCATTGCTGCCCCGTGTGGCCACTATAGCTGCGGTTCTCACCAACCATCAAGTACCAGTGGGTGTTTTCTGGCCTCGGGTGCGGGGGGTTTCAAACTGTATTTTTGATTATACTATAGAAAAGACTGAAGGGTGAAGGTTAACTGGTTGGTTTGGCAAATGTCTGTCTTGCTTACAGCCCCACCTCTATTGAATTGCAATGCACAACCGCTTCCCTGAGCTTTTCTATCGTATCATCAGGGAATGTCTCCCACAATGGTCAGACTGATATCTGAAAATGCAAACCGCGCAGAGAAACATAACATAATGTAGCACTGAGGTTTCAAATAGGATAATATACGTGTGTTTTGTCAGTGTACAGAATGTGAGTGTGTTTCAGTTTAAGGGGAGATAATTGTTTATGCACTGGTCAGTTTTGAGACTTCCATAACATGTATTCTTTCAGACTAAGTGGAAGGAAAACTCCCAAAATACGTTAGCATTAGCATTAGAATGCAACATTTGCATTATTTAAACATAACGTCTCGTAAAACATGAAGTAAAAAAAAATTGTCTTGATGTAAGCAATCAACTGGGGAGGTTTCATTGTAATATCTATTAGTTACATGTTTTACCCTATTGACCTGCAAAATATAGAGAATGTTACAATAAATATATTTAAAGGCCATTTTCTCAAATTGAGTTTTTTCCGGAGCCAGAAATATCCACTTCAGTTGCACTTACGTACACATACACCAAACTTACTAGTGTGTATTCCTACCTTTTATTCTGAAGCTTTTTACAGAGGGGTTTGTCCATATTATCCATAGACTGATTTATACATTTTATTCCTAAAAATATGGCAATTTCTTTTACGATTTTTGACAGTATTTTCTGATTTATGGAGTGATAAAAAAATATATACCTCTGTAAATACTTTGACTGTAATGTGTCAAAGAATTTTTAACCTGGCTTCATCCACTGTTCAGATGGATGCAAATTAGCACAATTTTAATTATATTGTGCCTAATTTGCATAACATTTCAGAAAACTTAATACAAAAAGTCAGTGTCTTAATATAAGTAACCAACTGGGGAAGTTTCATGGTAATATCTATTAGTTATATGTTTTCCCCTCTCCTGTTATGTCTAACTGTCCAACACTCTGCGTCTCAGTGACCAACAGGACCGTGGATCAGGCCAACATCGTTGGGGACACAGCGGTTGCTGGGGCCAACGAAGTGTCACAGGCAACCGTGGAGGGTCTCGAGAATGTTGCCGCATCGACCGGGGTGATCAACCAGGTCAGCTACTATGTTAACATTGGGTTACACCAACAGCCTTCAGAGGTTTGAGTCATTTGACACCAGTAGAACCTCTGGATCAGAACACGCAGCTCAGAATAGGGACAACAGCACAAAGATCTCAACTAGGACTGATGTCTTGCTTCAACAAGCTCAGACTGACAAGTCCAGACTTAAATTCAGCCTGAAACTGATACTGAATGATGTTTTGGAGACAGCTTTAAGGTCTGCCACTAGACAGAGCTCTTTCCCCATTTTTAACAAAATGATAAATCAAAGCAATGCTAAAACTGAAACAAACAAACAATCCCTCGATGGCTGTGCTCTCATTCATTATGATGCACTTCATCCATTTATTTATAAATGAATTAGAGCTGAAAGCAATGACAATATTTATTATCAGTTAAATGAATAGATAATTTTATCTAGAAAATAGTTACATAATGTAGATTTTAATTTTATCAGTCTAGCTTTTACTAAATGTATTATTATTGCTTACATTGATTTATCGGTTAATCATTTCCACACTAAAATGACCAATGTGAAGATGTAAACCAGTATGTATTTGCTCAGCATTACTGTTTTTAACCAGATCTCAAAATATGTTATATCCATTAAATTTCAAATCCAGTTACATTGTGCTGTTTTTAAAACATTTTTCCTGAAACATTCATTTAATTTGTGACAGGTAACAGTGATGGCCGTTGTTCTGCTCTTATGTTTTGAACTCTGTGGTCAAACCTTCAGATGTTAGATGGCCTTACATCTAACTTTTGCATCTTGCATGTAGGCAATAATTTTTCTGTGTCTTGTGTGTTACCTCTTTTAGTATACTGTGGCGATGCTTCTGCCTTGTGTGTTCTGTGTTGCTGTTGTTCTCACCTTTTGTTGTTTATGTTGTTTGTGTGTTTGTGTCTCATCTGTGTTTCCCTGATAGGAGGAGCCGGTATACGAGGTGCCTATTGGACAGAGCAGTGTGGGATTATAGGTCATCCTGGGTGGAGGGTGGGGGGGTAGGGTGAAGGAGAGACAGTGAGGGGATACTCTGCATGCTACATGCACCAAGTTTATTAGGGACACCTGTACAATCTAATCCAATAAACCTGCAGTGAATGTTTTATGGTAGGAATTATTGCAGGACTGTTAGATTATATAAAAAGGCACTAAAGTGCACTAAATAAAATGGTAAGTGTATATTAGCTAATAGCTTACAGCAGGCTAAGTGAGCGTCAAGAGGTAAAAGAAGAAACTGAAGCTGCTGTGATGCTTCCCAAATTAAAATGGACAAATTCCCGCAGTACGGATAAAAGCTTCCATTATATTAAATGGACTGTATAACAGCAGTGTCTGTGAGTAATTCACAATTTCCTACTCTGAATATGATAGTAACACTTTCCTCTGACCTCTCAGACGCTCACTAGTTTGTGTGGTTTAAGCAACAATGATACTAAAATCCCCATCTCTAACCATGTAGCTCCTCTGTGTAGCATTAAGTGACATACAGGCTCTCAGCAACATCTCCAGCACGTCAGATAAGCCAGCGAATATATTCATAGCATGCATCAAAATAGCTTCATGCACTGCTCAGGCTGAACAAGGCCTGTGTACCTGGAGGCTTTCAGACGAAGGTCTTACATGCTGTAAAGCTCTAATCAACTAACTGACCTCCCTGGGAAGTCTTAAGCATGATCATAAGAGTGGAGTAGACCCTACAGCATGGTCTTTGTAGTGCTTTGTAATTTCACAGCTGGAGGAAAACCAAAGCTAGGTGGTCATTGGTGCTTGAGGCCCTCGTCCCTGCCATTACCTCAACCTATCATCCTAGCCCCCCCCACCTCTATTTTTAATCTTATTTATTCTAACTCTTTGTATCTCCACCTGCAGGGAGAATATGGAGGAATGGAGCAGGGTGGGGAAGGAGGAGAGGTAAGAAAACAGGTTAGAGAGCTGCAGAGTAGAGAATTTAAAAGCAGCTGCTTAGTCAAATTAAATTATGTGTGACACTTTTGGTCACACATACAGGTGCTGGTCATATAATTAGAATATCATCAAAAAGTTGATTTATTTCAGTAATTCCATTCAAAAAGTGAAACTTGGATATTATATTCATTCATTCCACACAGACTGATACATTTCAAATGTTTATTTCATTTAATTGTGATGATTAAAACTGACAACTAATGAAAATCCCAAATTCAGTATCTCCAAAAATTAGAATATTACTTAAGACCAATACAAAAAAAAGGATTTTTAGAAATGTTGGCCAACTGAAAAGTATGAACATGAAAAGTATGAGCATGTACAGCACTCAATACTTAGTCGGGTCTCCTTTTGCCTGAATTAATGCAGCAATGCGGCGTGGCATGGAGTCGATCAGTCTGTGGCACTGCTCAGGTGTTATGAGAGCCCAGGTTGCTCTGATAGTGGCCTTCAGCTATTCTGCATTGTTGGGTCTGGCGTATCGCATCTTCCTCTTCACAATACCCCATAGATTTTCTATAGAGTTAAGGTCAGGCGAGTTTGCTGGCCAATTAAGAACAGGGATACCATGGTCCTTAAACCAGGTACTGGTAGCTTTGGCACTGTGTGCAGGTGCCAAGTCCTGTTTGAAAATTAAATCTGCATCTCCATAAAGTTGGTCAGCAGCAGGAAGCATGAAGTGCTCTAAAATGTCCTGGTAGACGGCTGCGTTGACCTTGGACCTCTGAAAACACAGTGGACCAACACCAGCAGATGACATGGCACCCCAAACCATCACTCACTGTGGAAACTTTACACTGGACTTCAAGCAACGTGGATTCTGTGCCTCTCCTCTCTTCCTCCAGACTCTGGGACCTTGATTTCCAAAGGAAATGCAAAATTTACTTTCATCAGAGAACATAACTTTGGACCACTCAGCAGCAGTCCAGTACTTTTTGTCTTTAGCCCGGGGAAGACGCTTCTGACGCTGTGTCTTGACACAAGGAATGCGACAGCTGAAACCCATGTCTTGCATACGTCTGTGCGTGGTGCACTGACTCCAGCTGCAGTCCACTCTTTGTGAATCTCCCCCACATTTTTGAATGGGTTTTGTTTCACAATCCTCTCCAGGGTGCAGTTATCCCTATGGCTTGTACACTTTTTTCTATCACATCTTTTCCTTCCCTTTGCCTCTCTATTAATGTGCTTGGACACAGAGCTCTGTGAACAGACAGCCTCTTTAGCAATGACCTTTTGTGTCTTGCCCTCCTTGTGCAAGGTGTCAATGGTTGTCTTTTGGACAGCTGTCAAGTCAGCAGTCTTCCCCATGATTGTGTAGCCTACAGAACTAGACTGAGAGACCATTTAAAGGCCTTTGCAGGTGTTTTGAGTTAATTAGCTGATTAGAGTGTGGCACCAGGTGTCTTCAATATTGAACCTTTTCACAATATTCAAATTTTCTGAGATAGTGATTTTGGGGTATTCATTGGTTGTCAGTTATAATCATAAAAATTAAAAGGAATGAACACTTGAAATATATCAGTCTGTGTGGAATGAATGTATACATTATACAAGTTTCACTTTTTGAATGGAATTACTGAAATAAATCTACTTTTTGATGATATTCTAATTATATGACCAGCACCTGTAACAGCCGGTATCTGTACACTATACAAGCGTATCATATATTCTTTTTATGTAAAATCTTAATTGGAAAACTAACAAGTCAGTACAGCTGTCAGATAAATGTAGTGGAGTAAGAAACTACAGTATTTCCCTCTGAATTGTACTGGAGTAGAAGTCTTAAGTAGCATTAAATGGAAATACTCAATTAAAGCACAAGCACCCCAAAATTGTACTTAAGCACAGTCCTTGAGTAAATGTACTAAATTGCTTTCCACCCCTACTCATAACTAGGCTACTAAACTGATGTCATATCTAAACTGATGTTATAATTTCTGTGGAGTGCCTCTTTAACTTGTAATGGACTATTTTTATTACATTGTGATATTGCCACTTTTACTCAAGGAAATACTTCTTCCACCACTGACATGTTTCTATCTTTGTTTCCTTCTTTCCCTAATTCCAGGGGTATTAGTCTTCTTCAGGACCTCGCCTCCCGTGTTCTCTGGCGGCCCCTCGCTCCCCTCGCCTCGCTGTACCAGACTCCAGATGTCCAACATATTTTTTTGTGACTTTACAGAACCAAAATCAACTAAAACAGACTCTTCCGGATGCCGCCCCTCAACCCCCAACTCCCCGTTTGCCTCGTCACTCAGTGATGCTCCCACCTGTCCTCATCCCTTCTCCTCCCCTCTGACTTTCTGCAGCCTGTAGCGTAACCTCCACTGCCCGTCTTACCCTCACCTCACCCGTGTGTTAGTGTCATCCTGATATGAACCCCGGTGTTGTTACCGCCCCCACGCCTACCCACCCATAGGGAAATCTCACACACAAACACACAGGTACACACAAACAAAAAGAGATACACCTTCATTTGACACATGCATGAAACACACACATACAGTACATACAGTCAGAGCCAGCACAGACGCACACACTGGGCAAACATGTGTTAATTAACTGTAGGATTTTAGGTGTGTAAATACAGCTAAGCCTCTGCAGTCCACCACAATAACAATAACTCACTGCGAGACCGAGGCAGGGTGTGAGAGGGTGTGTGATCTGCTGTTTGTGCGCCTGTGTGTCCACAATAGCTTATATATATATGTGTGTGTGTGTGTGTGTGTCTGTGCGCGCACATATGTAGCTGCTGGCATATAAAATAAATCTCCAGAGGCTTGAGCAAGGAATTCGTGCATTGAGGACAGATATCATTCTGTTATGTGTGCAGTAGTTAGCTAGCTACAATAGGCTGCATGAACAGATGTGTAGAATGACTTGTCTTGTGCTGTAACTATAGAGTAGCGGCTGTTATGTGTAGCTTTGTATGGATTAGTGTGTGTCGCGCCTCAACATTTAGAAACAGGGTTATCACAGTGTCATTAACCAGTAAGCAATACACAAAGTCCTTTCTTATCAGCTTTTAAGAGTCGAAGAGTTTAACAGTTAATAAGTGTTGGTTTAATTAGATTTGTCAGGGTCATCTCCCTGCAAACAACCAGAGTCTGATATTTAAATTGTAATTGGTTCATGGAATTATCCTTCTTTCCAACACATCCCAGCCCACTTCAAACTAGCACTAAGAGCACCAGTTTCGCTCTAATTGTATAAATATAATGTGATCATGTATGCAGGACCCCATCACTTATAGTACTTAAGAAGCTGATTAACTTCTTCAACCCAGTCATTACAAACTTAATGTTAAAACCCTCACGGGATTGTCTGTTAAATCCTAGTAGAATATGTCATGCAGAACTTCAGTCCTGGGTTTGAATATTCCCCTCACAGGAAACATCAAATAGCTTTTCATGAAGAGCTCAAACAAGCTGATACAGAATATATGTCAGACACAAGGCAATAAGACTTTTCACATTAAAAGCTACTTCTGGCAAAAGCTGGGTTTACAAAAAAAAAATTCAAGGAGGAAATATAAGCAGCTGATATTGATTGCTTCTTGTTATTGTGTAGTTGCTTTTAAGTCTTTGTTAAAGTGGTCTGCATGCCATCGGACGAAACAAGCAGTCTTATTACAGTTACAGTGATGAAAAACATCATTCAGTGAGGGAATCAGTCCGCTAAGAGAGGAGAATGAAAGTTTGAGTTTAATCAGCTTTATGTGTAGCTCTGTGAACAGCTTGAATTCTGGGATATGTAGTTGTTTTTTAGGGTAGTTTTTATTTCACACTAACTGGTCTGAACCCTCTCAGTGCGACCACCTTTCACTGCTCGTCTGCCCGGCAATAGTGTGTGTGTCTGAATGCACTGTATGTGTGTGTGTGTGTGTATCTACACGTGTGTGTTAACATAGAACCGGTTCAGCCAGCAAAGTGTGTGAGTGTGTGTTTGTGTCTGGATCAGGTTTGTGTGTTTTTACTTTGAGGCCAATGGAAACTGATGACTGCATGTTGCCTTATCAAGCAATCTGACATTCACACACACCCATACACATAAGACTACACACTACACCACACTTGTATCAACACACACACATACAGCACACTAAACAAGACAAATCACAAATCCCACCTCAAATACACAAACACAAATATCGCACACCATGTTTAAGTTGGCATCAAAGCAGACTCGCTGATTTTATAAACAGTAGCAGTGAAATTAAAAAGGTTTTGTTGAAATCCAGCTACTGTGTCAAGAATTTATTTGAAGAGGAACACTGGGTGTTGGGGGAACACAGCCTGACTGAAAATGCAAAGTTTTTTAACATTACACAGTAAGATCAGTCAGTACAGTGGCTTAAACAAACAAAATAAAATCTGGAAGCAGATTTTGCTAGCTTTAGACAAAGTCAGGCTGTTTTCCAGATTCCAGCTATCACGCTAAGCTAAGCTAACGCCTGCTGGCCTTAGCTTCATATTGAACTTACATGAGAATACTATCGATCTTCTTTTACAAACGCTTATTTCCCAAAATGTCAAAATTTGCCTTTAATCTTGTGTTGGTCACTGTGAGTGCAGCCTGTTTTCCCATTACCCCCATGCTATTGTGCGTTTCTGTAATTCCCTCTTCCAGGCATCATGGACAAGATTGGTAAGGTTGTGGAAGACGTCACAGAATTCCTGGTTAACAAGATATGTTGCAGGATACTTTTTGATATGACTGTGTCTATCACACACATACACACACTTTTATTCATAATACAGGAATAATAGTCCACCCAGTTCGTGACAGAATAGTATGAAAATAAACTGATGCGATACTGTTGGATATTTTTCTGAACATTTTATTGGTTTCCAAAAAAATGAATAAAATAAAAACAAAAAGTAATTTCCCCCATAACAATTTTAATGTCAAAGAACTGGACGATTAAAACTGAGGGAAAATTCAGGGGGACGGGCGGTCACAGTGACACCTAGCCCCCTCCCTGCTCCCCTTTCATGGCCAGCGGAGGAGCTGCTTTTAAAATACGAGACAGAGCGACGGGAATAGAGGAAAAAAGGAGGGGACAAGGAATCAGAGAGCTTCAATCGAATCTCTTACAATAAAAATACGAACTATGAAAAAAAAACCTTCTTTGGGAATCCTTAACCATGGCAACTTCACTACTAACCTTCACATCTGAAGCGTGAGGACAAACTCAAGTGTAATAAAGTTACTATTCTCTTTTATTCACGTGAAGTTAATTCTATATCTAAATACAAATCCCTTTCAATTAAAGTTAAACTGAAGTGGCCATCTCCCTTTTAGAGCGGACAACTTTCTGAAATAAGGCACCTGTAGTGCTGTCAACTGTAATATCAACAGGAGGGTCACACGTGCATTCAGCGATCACAAAAAGGGCGCTTTTAACATTGCTGGCGCACAACAATATCATCAACCTTTCAATGCGGGCTACATCTTTTCTTCTGCCAGGATGTTACTTTCTATCTGCTTTTTCTCACTATAACCTCAAAAACAAGAACAGGGCAATGTTTAAACAGAGATGCATATATGGTATAATGACAGCACAAAGATCACAGGATAAATACCAGGATAGCCAGTGTCTCGCTGTACGTGTGCGTGTTTGTGTGTAGAAGAGCCAAAGAGCAGCGGTAAACAGTGATATGTTCTGAAGGCTGTTTAGAAGGTGGAAAAAGGAAGGAGAGGAAGGGAGGGAGAGGAAGTGTGGGTCATGATTGGCCATTTATGTGAAGGTAAGCCCCGCCTCATTGTAGACTTTGAAGACCTTCTCGATGGCATTGACGTAGGCGGCCGTCCGAAGGTCCAGACCCAGGTTGTACTTGCTTGCTGTGCGCATGATTTGCTATAAAGGCAGAAGAGTACACATGTTATAGGACTGAGCAGTTTAACTACATTTAACAACAGAGCCCAGACCACCTTTGAAGGACTGAGCTCATCCCAAGCAGACAAAAGAAGGAAGACTTGTGCTCGCTAAGGTTTAGTACCAGCACGGGTAACTGTTCCTTTAGGTTCTGTGCGGTTAAGACTTAATAATTAATAAGTAACCATTTTAATACAACATAGAATGTACATTCATTTAATATTTCTTTCATTGTCATACTGGTCAAAGAATTACAAGAAATCAGTAGAAAACATAAAGTTACACTTATTTATCAAGTACATGAATTTATCAACATGTATATCACATTTTTTTCATAACGTCTCATCATATAACAATAATTCCAATTAATATAATCACTGAATTACATGCACTGGACACAGATTAATTGGGGGAAAAAAATAGGTAAACTAACAAGTTGAAAAAACTTAAGTTAATTTCAGGATTTGCCAAAATTAACATTTACCCATTATAACAAGATGAGCATCCTAGTTACTGCAGCTAACAGTAGCAAAATTGACTCAAACTCCACCAAAAAGGAATTAGCAGGACCTGTTACACCAGTTATGTTACTGCCTGCAGCAGGCAACAATAACTATTTAAGACCTTTGTAAATGAAATTAAGACTTTTTTAGACTTTTGAGGCAGGTGAATTCAATGCTTTTTTAAAACTTTTCAGATCTGTAGATAACCTGTTGGAAGTGACAGCTGATCATCCTTTTATGTTTTTTACAATTTATTTTTGCAACATTTGACCTTGATCTTTAATTTTAGTGATGATACGGTATTTATTGTGTCGGGTTGTTGGTAGCATGATGTTGTCTTCCTAGACTCCTGTATCTGAGCTATCTTTACATAAAGGACAACAAAGGAACTTTGACTTTATTGGAGATGCACTGTATCCCGTCAGATCGGCAGAAAATACTGACATTATTAAAGATCGTTTCAGTTTATTCACATATTTTGATGTCGAAATGACTAGTAGGTACAAAAAGAAGCACTTTTTGTGGACGTAATTTTGATCTAAGCGGATTTGGTAGTGGCCAGATGTGATCATACACACTTAATAAAAATTCTTTGTCCATTTAACTGTTTTTACAGCCACAGCAATCTCTGGACTAATGTTACCTTACATAAAAATAATCCTAATGGAGCTATATGCAGTGATGTATACTGATTTTAAAGTTGGGAGAAAGACAGAACTGGTACTAGATCATTGAATTGGTTTACAGTAAGATGGAGGGTGTGACAGAAGATTTCTGAGAGAGACAGCACTAATCTAACATTTCCAGTTCCATTTCTGAAGTGTAAATCATATGTTTCATCTTAGTTTACTGTACAACACAATACAGTGCCTGTTCACTAAAACACATTCGTACTGTGTGTGTTATGTAGGATCACTTACCCGGGCAGATCTCTCCATCGTGTAGGCCAACCCAGAGTGAACAATGTCCTTCTCAGAGGCACCCTGCAAAGGAAGATGAATGTTAACCACACATTCAATCTCAAGAAGGAGACTTCTTGAGAAAAGTGTGCATGCAAAGACGTCCTGACATGATCAGTTAGCGCATCAACAGAAAATGTGTCATTAACAACAAACATTAGCTTGGTTGCATATATTCACCGTTCGGTATTTATTTTAGACACTACTTTGGTAACTTGTGATGGGCATTTGTAATTTTATTTTACAGTGCACAGGCATCTTTAATGGAAATATTAGTTGATATTTCTACTCAGAAGGTAACAAATGATAATATGTACAAATATGTATAAGGCCATTGTAAGCATGTATTTCTTAAACGTAGTCTTTGTTATTCAAAGTGGGCAGGGTTCACTCCTTCTGGCCGACTGTCAATCACGGGGATGAAGATGCTTTTATTCGCGAGTGCCAGGAGGTTTGAGTGTTACGTTGCCTTGGTTGTGGACCTGTGTATCAAGTATTTTAATTTTTCAAGTATAAGGTGTTACGCACCTTTCAGGTCATAGAGTGCAGAGTACACTGACATGACATGCCAATACAAAGTGGAAGTAAAACAATATGCTTCATTATCCTCTTAAAATTAAACCTGTGATACCTGTGTTGATCCTATATATGTATTTCGATTGTATGTGTTGTTTCACAGCAAACAAATCTACTAACTTCTATGTATGTTTTATCATGATAGTAGCAGAAGTAAGAAATTACTGGGAGACGAGAAAAATATCTGAATCAAAATGTAAAACAATTATTAATACTAACAGGCAATAAGAAGCTCCCAAGTGGACTCTTTGGTATTCTTTGGCATACGGCCCGTGGTTTGGCAGTTTTGCTCAGAAAGTAACAAAAGATATGTACAAATATGAAGAAGACCTTTGTTGCATGTCTTTCTTAAACGTAGTCTTTGTTATTCCAAAGGGCAGGGTTCACTACATAAGGGCAACTGTCAATCAAGGAGAATTAAGATGCTTTTCTTTGCGAGTGTCAGGAGGTGTGAGTGTTATGTTGCCCCGGATATGGACCTGTGTATCAAGTATTTTGCAAAGCACACTGACATGACATGTGAGTATAAAGTGGAAGTAAAGCAATATGCTTCAATATCCTCTTAAAATTAAATCTGTGATAAACATAAAAAGGACTCCAGATTTTATTTCAAGACCACAACTGTGGGAATATCGCAAAATCACCTGTGGATTGTGTGATTTATTTGCTAACATCTTAACTTTGATTGAATGTAAATCTTACTGCTTCAAATGTAGCCAATAACGTGACTTATTGCTGATCTCAAAATGTTGTTGCTGTTAACGGCTGTCACCCCTCCCTGCCTCCTTCACATGTCCTGTCGTCGTCTGGGAGCAGGAGGATTTATCCGCCAAATCTTTGTAATATAATTTAGCTACCTAAACCATAAAGAATCTGTATCTAGAAGAAACCACAAAGCAATCTGTAAATTTTGCAGTGCAACGCTTATGGAACTTTTATTGGCACTTAGAAAGCGTAAAGAAAGGTAAACTATATGTTAGTGACGTTAGCTACCAATCTACATAATGTATGTTTCAGGGCACTAGTTTCAGTTGATTGCCAGCTATTTGCCACATATCTAGGTCCACAAGCTACCTAATTGTGTTACCAAATTGAGGGAAGTAGCTAAAACAGTGTTAACCTTGTGAAATATTGAGTTGATAGCGAATGTGGTGAGAACTTGTCCCTAAGGTACCTTTTTGCTTGTGATAACCAATGATGAGACAGGCCACATGAAGTTGCTAATGTTAAGTTACATTAACCTTAGTTAATGTCAGCTGCATACAGCTCCCGACATTAAAGATATGCGGCACGGTACCGCTACCTAATTTGATCAGATTACATTCAACTTGCTCATGTCACTAGGTACAAAACAAGGAAATGCAGATTGCATCTAACCATGGAAAAGGAGAGTTGAATAAAGATGCTGAAGTTGATTTCTGCTCTTACTGTTTGGATGTAGGTGTTTTTATGGGAAATTGATATTTCAGATCTGAGTGCCCATTTTATGTTCCACATCTTATGTGTTATGTAGTGCGGAGCACGGGTCTTGGTCTTGACTTGGTCTCAACAGTGATTGTGGGCTAAACTCACAAGTATTTCCTCACTGCTAAATCCAAATGCATTCTTCTGGGAAAATTTCAGAACATGCGCCGTTGCGAAATACACCCCTTTCATGCAAATGCACACCATCTCAAACTAACCAACATCTTATTCACCATCGTAGTACCGTTTAACTCCTGTGCAGGCGGTCAGAGTTGATAACCCTGAGTTAACCTGATAAACCTGAGTAGGCTGAACTCCCTTCGTAGTACAGGCCACTGGTCTTGACCACAATACTAGTTGTAATGCCTTTGTCAGTGTCAGACTTGGAGTGATAGCATGTGGCTATTTCCTGGAGGCAGTATGTGTCAGTGCAGACCTGATACTTATCGAACTTGCAAAAGTGTCAGTAGAAAATAATCGTTCGCTCATTTTTGATAATCACTTGTCCGTTCATGGAAGTGTGTGTCAGCAGATATTACTCACAGCAACTCTGGCCTGGAAGTCAGCAGTAGGTACTACAGGGATGGGTCCTCCCTGCTTGCCAAACTTCCTCTCTAAACTTTCCTGCACAGACACTAAAAGGGAAAACAGAGGAAAATTACAATTCAAGACACATCAGAGGCTTCTTTTGTTTCTGTATCAACAATAAACACCAGTTATGACACACCCTGCAAATTTTTCTGGTTTTACAACTCTACATTCTTCATTTGTGAAAAATAATCCAGCTATTTTGATTGGCTGTATGTGAACAAGACAGAGTATAAATACAGAAGGAAAATAAGTTGAGAGAAATCATTTCTCTTAGACAGAGACACCACATCAGCTGATACCTGCTGACACAGCAACATCACCGCTTCTGGCTGACTTGTCAAAAATTCAGCAAAAATAAGTAAGTAAGAATCTAAAAAATCTTGTTAACAGATTTGTTTTTAATTTAGAATCTTTTTTCCTTGTAGTTAAATTAAAAGTAATCTTGCATTTAATACATCAGCAGCCGTGACGTACAGCAGCCAGGTAACCTGTACAGCTAGGCGAGGTTTGAAGGAGAAGTTGTGAATTATTGCTTTAGACTACTACTAAACAACATGAAACACTTGCAGTAAAAGAAGAGTTACAGTACAGTTTCACAGTGCAGAATGAAGGCGGGGGAGGTAGAGGAGATAGATTATGGGCAGGTTCGACTTTAGAACATCCACATCTGATGTGAATCCTGATCTGAGGTTTGTCTTGTGCCTTCAGGAAGCAGCTGTAGAACCAGAGTATCTGCCAACCCGCTGAGCAATCCAGAGCATCACAACGCAAAGAGAAATACAAGGTATAACACCACAGCAATTCTAAGTACTGAATGTGTTGTACCATTAATCAGTAGCATGTTAATTTACAAAACTTAATTGTTTTTTGTTTTAATATAGATGGCAGCTCGTCCTTTTGAATACCCTGAAGAATGTAACGAAGTTGACATTAGAGAGCAAACACTGAGTGCAAATCCAGACACTCTCTATTATGATAAAAGAAAATGTGAAAAATATAACCTGATTTTCAAAAGCCAGTATCCTCTAAGCGACTGGCAGAATGTCATTAAGATAAAATATCCAAATCTTGAGGAAAGTCAAGAGACTGTGGTCAGACTCAAGTCGGTCGACGGTACCATATCTATATATAGCCGGGGTGGAAAGATTGTAGTGCATGGACAGAAACTGAGAGAACAGTTTGAGCAAGATTTTGAAGAAATGGTTGAGTCATGCATGACAGCAATAATGGAGAACTTGGAAATAAATAATGAGGAAGGATCCCCTGATCAGCCAGAGGGTGAGGACACACCATCTAACCCACGCACCAGCCAATCCAACCCCAACTGATGAGAAATAGATTGTCTGATGTAAGAACGGACGGAAACAACAATAAATTCATTAATAACTGATCATTATAAGTGATATTAATTTTTTCCCTACCATTTTATTGTATTAAAAAGGTAACTGGGTTTTAAAATCTATTACATTCTATTTTTACTTCAGATTTTAAGTACATTTGTCATGTACTACACATCTGTACAATCTCTAGTTCGGGTGTTTATATGTTGTTTTAGATTTGTGTTTCAAGAGTTAAAAATCTACTACCATGTGTAAAAGGAACATCTAATGAATAAAGTATCTTCTGATTGTGTCTCATGACCCTAGCACATTCTAGTGTGTCTGCATGTTATGGAGGAAGTAAAGAGCATTCTTGTACTCACTGAGCAGGTGGTAGTTTGAGTCTCTCTCATATTTGAAGGTCAGTCTTCCATAGCTGACATGGTTGAGATTTTTCAGCCACTCGAAATAAGACACTGTCACACCGCCAGCATTCAGGTACATGTCCTGCAGGATGAAACATCACATACTCATCAGACATAGGCCTTTTTCTTCACTCTGTTCACACTGTATGTTTTGATTTTCCTGTTAAATAAAACCATTGGAATAAACTATAAAATGCTGAAATACTTATTTTGACAAAAAATAAATAAATCTGTTGTTCAGAATCTTTTATTCTGCTTACTGTTTGGGTTTCACCTTCATGGTTCAAATATATTATATTTAAACAATTTTTCTGTAACATTAAATATTCATGATTAAATAAGTAAAAATAAAAATAAATAAAATAGGAAAAAACATCCTCATGTTTTATTTTTAGCACTCAACAACACACAGTTAATCTGCTTCATCAGGACTGGATGTGTGTGGTTTGATCAGATTTGATTGACAGTGCTGGAAAACAAAGCAAACATCCCCAAAAGTATCATCAGGTTTTGACTGAAATGTTGCTAAATCCTGATTGGTGCTCAGAAGTATGTGACATCACATTTTCACCCACTTCAAACCAGTAAGAAGAGCTCAGATAAAAACACAAATACTCAAATCTTGTGTAAAGTGTGCGCTTACAGGAATAACCATGACGTTGTTCTCCAGAAAGATCTTATCAGCATCTGGGGTGGTGGGACCATTGGCACCCTCAGCAATGATCTGGAACAGACAACACACACTTAATATGAGTGTGACCAAGTTGCCCTGTCCTTAATCATGAAGGTAAATCAAAGTGAGTGTTTACCTTGGCCTTGATCCTGGGGGCATTGTTACGTGTGAGCTGCTTTTCTCCGGCTGCAGGGATCAGGATGTGGCAGTCGGCTTCCAAAATGTTCCCTTCGTAGGGTTTGGCTCCTGGGAAGCCCACAATGGTGCCATGTTGCTGCAGAACGCACAGACACACAAGAGAAAAATATTAACTTGTTCCCAAAAAGATCTTCTGACAGCGATACTGTTAAGTGAGAATGAATCAGTGGACAGAAAGGAAGAACTGATGATTTTGGGAAGGGAAAACAGAGTAAAATAGAGAACAACTTTGACTACATAATAAAAGAAAGAAAGGATAAAAGGGATAAAGAGGTGAGACATAATTGAGAAGAAGGCAGTTGTGCTGGTACCAGTTTGTAGTCCTCCAGCTGCTTGGGGTCGATGCCCTCTGGGTTGTAGATGGCTCCATCAATCTCACCGATGCCAACACACTTAGCCCCAAACCTGTGCAGGTACCTCATGGAGTGGAGACCCACATTACCAAAGCCCTGTGAAAAATCACAGCAAGGTCATCATCACCATGGTCCAACATCACCATGATATTCAATTTTAAATCATTACATAATATCAATAGTATAAATTTAATTGTTACACCCCGTTTTACTCAACCATAAACTAGGATAAGCTCCATGCGACTACATACTCTGGTGCCACCGTGTGGCCACTTTAAGTTCTAACATCATTATCATCCACTGTAAGGACCTGAAAACTATTCTGTGTAAATGTGTGTGAAAACTGGAAACAGGACAAATTATCAAAACAGGTAAAGGTGGACAGAAGTGATGCTATCTGTGGCAAATCTTCTGCTGCAATCTAAAGTGTATATAAATACATGAAAAAAATACATAAAAAAAGATACTTCATTACTGATGCCAAACTCCTGTAAATACAATATTCCCATTAAGTCCAATCACTGATTGCAACCTCGCCCACAATGATCTAACGGCCACACTGTCCATCAAAGCAGCGCATGTGCGTCATGGATTCATTTCGGCATTCATTTCGGCGCCCATGTTAACAGGTTAGAGCAGCATTTTTCACGCGTGGCTGCAGCGACGTTTCATCAAGACAGTCTGAATCCATTTTTCGCGACATGGCTGCAGTGCTCAGCAACAATAGTACCATAAAAAGACGGTTTATAGTCATATCAACATCATATCAGCAAAAAGTACACCTTTACCTATGTTGCTGCTACTGCAACAGAAAAGCTAGAGGGATTTTAATCTGAAATAGACAGAAGAGGTTGAATAATATTAAAAAATAAAATGAAATTATATGTCTCACATATTCTACAGATATAGACATAGAAACTGTTGTCTGTGTGGACACCACACGTGTGTGAGCCGCAGCATATCAGCAAGGTACCCGTCATACATAGGTAAGTTAGGCAGTGTGGCACAAGCAGAAGACTACCAGAGATTAAAGGATAGGAATGTCTGTGTTAATAGTAGAGTAAAATCTCTAACGTGGCCATTCTAGAGATCTGCTCTCTCCTCAATCACTAATACATCTCTAAGAAAATCTAATCTCAGCACAAAATAATCCTCAAACACAGACACATAGGGATCAGCTTTTTGAACATCCACGTCATGATTCAGCGGTTGTTACCGCTTCTTCTCTTCCTCAGTGACGCCCTTCTCATCCCTCACCCCAATACCCTCTCCACAAACATCATCCCTTTTCAACATCTCTTATTGTTTGTTTATTGTTGCTGAAAAACATCAGCTTCTTTACAAATCTCTATAAAAGGAAGGAAACAAGCATGATCAGATCCTCTTTTATGTGTCTGGTGATTATAGAAAACACTCCAGGAAAACAGCGGAGGCCATTGCCAAGGGGTTCCCTGTGAATGTGTCAGTGTGTGCTTGTGTCCATGACACGTGAGGAGCTGTCATGTGACAAATGGAAGTGAAACTGCTAACTACTCTGAGATCTTTCATCCCCACAGACACACTTCTTCCAGATACAGTTTAAATCAGAGGTATCCTTATAGAAAGAACAGTCTTTCCATGAGTATCCTGTTGCTTTGCTCTGTTTCTTTCTATTGTTTTTCTGTTTATTGCAGTTGAGCAGTTTCTACAACTAAAAGACTGTTAATTGCGCCCACTCTCTCACAGAATCATCATTTCTCATGAACAAAGAGGTTCTCCTTCAGTTCCCCACAGTCTGCTCGAAGAGACGACGAGATCAGGGCCAAGCTAAAACAGATGGCACTGCTCTGATTGAGACGTAGCTCTAAAACCCCTCATCATGAGTTCAAATGAAAACTTTAAATCCTGTGAGTATCTGCAGTACATTTGGGGTCTCATCTTTCCTCTTGAGTACAATGTTTCTACTGTGATCAAACCATGCCAGAGTGTGTTTGTACCTGGATGACGAAGGTCTTGTCATGGAAGCCTGGTGTCAGGCCCAGCATGCTCATGTAGGACGCTTCATTAATGAAGTTCTCGATGCCGTGGAAAACTCCACGACCGGTGGCTGAGATACGTCCGTGGATTCCTCCCTGGCTGATGGGCTTTCCTGTCACACATGCATGGGCGTTGATGTCCTGCACACACATACTGAGAAGGTCAGACCACATAGTCCATATAGACTTAAGAAAATGATGTACACAGCATTGGTAATGATTGGAGGATTTTGTCTCCAATGACCAAAACTTCTTGCAGGAAAAATAAATGATATTTCATTAAGAAATCTGCTACTTTATGAATTTAATTCAATACAGTTGGAGATTTTTGGGAACCTGCATCTAGTGACTATTTAGTGTTACTGCCCCTTTCTTTTCTGCTTCAGCTTTCGGCCATGCGATATCTGGTTTTAACTGCTTAACATACACACCAAGAGGTTGTGTAGTGCCACCCTACGAGGCAGTGAGACAGCTGACTACACATACTCACTACCCATAATCCTCAGCCCTCAGATACCCAGAGGAGGAATGTATCACCCACTCCAAAGCCCTGCCTGGAGTATCTGGAACAGACACATGACTAGGTAAGGTGAGACGAGGTTACAGAGGAAAGGGAAACTAAGAATCATGGGGAAAGGAGGGGTTGAGATGTGTAATAACATATGAAAATCTAAATTAATTAACACTAAATGCAATTTATATTTCTTTGAAGTAGAAAAATTAAGATTAATCCACCACAATGCATTGCAATGATTGTTGTCATTAAGATTTTACGCAGGTATTTAGACAGCTTGATGTATATTGATTAATCGGCAACCTCTGGGGCTGAAAAAAGAAAGCCAAAGCGGAACTGCAGTTCCTCAAATGGCTACTTGATGTTGGCCTAAAACAAGTCAATCCCCATAGACCCCTGAGGTTAAAATGCCAAACTTTACAGCAGTACTAAACAGGCTAGTACAAAAAAAAACAAAACAAAAAAAAACAGGTTTGGTCTCACTCACCCGTTTAAATAATATTAAGGCTTAAAGTTATGCATTATTTATATTAAGGCTTGACGTTATGCAAGAGGCCATACCAAGATGGTAACTGCTAGGGCCGCCCCTGCTCTTCAGAAGCCTATAGATGACATCTCAG